AAGCGTTAGAAACGGGAGTGTGCTATAGCGGGCTTAAATTTATAAATTGGGTAGATATATATAAATTATATATATAATAGTAGTAAAATTACGGCGGGCTTAAGTTTATAAGTTAGGTAAATATATATAAATTATATATATAACGATAATAGAACTACGGCGGGCTTAAATTTATAGGGTAATTTTTCGCGACGTTCTAATATAGATTCGTTCTTATTATTATTTAATAAAGCGCCGGTTCTTATAAATAAGTTTAATTTCTATAGGGAAAAGGAATTTAAAGCGTTATAAAAAGGGAAAGAATAATAGAATTTTAATTTACATTTATACCTTTTGGGCGATATTAATCAACGAATTAATAGGTTATAAATATTTATTTAATAGAGAGAGGGAAATTATCGCATATATTTCTTAATATAGAATTATTATCTTTTAATTAATTTAATACTATATATTATATTTTAACTGGTATATAAAAATTATAGTCCTTTATACCGTACGACCCGTTTACATTGTAATCTTAGTTATTATCCTATCCGTAGTAAAGAAACCTATTTATTTTTTATATAATATATATATATTTCTTATATATATAAATTCTAAGAAATTAAACGTTTATATACTTACACTTTAAAGAGAGACGAAATACTATAGTTATTAATATTAATTATAAGGAGAAGGAGATTCAAAATTTATTTTAGCTGAAGCTAATTTATAGAATTTAGCCAAGTCCGCTTCCTAATACTAATATTAGTCTTATTATCAAAATAATTAAAATATAAGGGTCTCTTACTATAGGGGGTTGGGTCTTAGGTCTATCCTAAGCCTACTACTCTTTCTTAATAATAGGGAATAGCGGGACTGTATTATCGCTTAGCAATATTTTAAGTAAAGCCTAATATTATTAATATATATTTAGGATATAGTAGAGAGGAATATTATATATTCGGTAGAATTTAGTTCCCTAAGTGCTTATAAACTTTAGAGACGTACGATTAAAGTTAGAGTATATTAATTCTACTTTTATAGAAAATATTAAATATAATTCTACTTACATAATTTCTTTTAATTACTCTATAGAATTAGAGCTTAGAATCGGTATTAATGTAATTATATAATATTAATAATGTTTTTATTATATATAAGTTATATATATAAGAATTATAGTACTTATTTAAGTTCGTTTAAGAATTAGGTATATTTCTAGCTACGGAATAAAACTTAGCGCTTAAATGCCCTAGAGAGCTTTTAGTATTTAAATTTTATAGATAGAGTTAAGAAATTACTTCTTTTTAGCAATACGTTCGAAAAAAACGGAAAGGGGTTTAGTACGAGTACGGTTAAGGACTATTATATTTAAATATATATTAATTAATTAGAAAGGGCGAATAAGTTTACTTATATTAAGATAATTATTGCGAAAATATTCATAAAGTTAAATAATCTTTATTATTATATATTTAATAAATAATTAATTAAGTAATAATACATTTTGTACTAAGAGGAAGTAGTAAAGTTATATATATAGGATATATCCTTGCTAATATAATAATTAAGATACTTAAATTAGTAAAAGTATATAATTATATATATAGTAAAAATATTTATATAAGGTCGTTCACTATAGAGATTTGGACGGCCGGGTTAGGCGGATGTATGTTATTTGTTATAGGAACTATAGAAACTATAATTTAATATTAGTTTTGTAATTTAAATTTATTAAGTATATATTATACGTAATATATATTAGGGTATTTACTGGTTTAGGTAGGGATACCGGTATTCCTTTCTATTTATTATTTTTGAATTTTGTTAGTTATGTATTAGTTAACGAATCCGAGATATAATGGAATTTATTTGAAGGTAGCTATTTAATGTTATTATAGGGGATTGAGCCTATATATAAGTAAATATATATAAGGATATATTATTAAATTGTATATTAAATATATATATTATAGTAGTATTTTTATTCGCCCGGGTTTTCTTTGTAGAGGATTTAATTGCCTAGGCTAATAAAGGCTTCGAAGTTGCGTAGATCTAAGTCTAACTAAGGGAAATTTATATTGTATAATTACTTATTATTATTAAGTAATGTTAATTAGGAGGAATAAACGAAATATTAATTTAAAATAAAGTTTCTATTTATAAAGTGAAATAGTATTGAATGAGGAATAAGGAAGAATTTCTAAATAGAATATAGGTAGGGATATTAATATTTTAAAATATTAAATAGTTAAATTACTAAAAGTTTAGATAAAATATATAGTTTATTATAAATAAGACGATATATAATTATTTGGCGAGGGTTAATAAGTAAATAATTCAAAAGTTTAGACGAAATTAATATTGTAAGCGGTCTAGAACGTATATTCCTTATTGTAAAGAATTTCCTTTTTCCCTCTTTTTTCTTCCTTTAAATAATTAAAGTACTAAAGCTCGGTAAATTTACTATATATATTAAATATATTAGATTTACTTCTTTTATCGCAATTAATATTTATAAGAAGTTTCTACGTCATTTCTCCTTTTCTTCTTTTTTTATTTTATATTTCCTAAATTTTAATATGAAATTAAGTTAAACCAGATTTAATACGATATTAAGAAATATTTTATTCCCCTTCGTATACTCCGTTTATCCTTTTTCGTATTTTCTATATTTATAATATAATATTAGTATAGGTTTGAATCTAATTGTTCGGCCATAAACTTTTTATATACGGAATATAAACTAATTTAAGTAAGGATAATTAATATAAATTTAAAATTAAAGTGGGTAATTTCGTTAAATAAAATTAAAATCCTTACTAAAATAATATTCGATATAGTAAACCAGTATCTACAATATAGATATTTCTACGGCCCGATCCCGTCTAGACGCGTTATTAATGCGTTTAAATATAATATTAAGATATAAATTCTATTTTTATTTTATAAATATATACGTATATTAAATTAAACCGTTAATTATAAAGTCGAAATTATAAGAGGTTAAAGATGCGGTTATATTTTTATAAATTAAGTATTACGTAATAAACATTATACTATTAAATATCCCGGTATAATCGATCTTGATTTTTTTACGAGTATACTAACTTAAGCGGAGATAAAGGTTATAAAGAAGTGAGTATTTAACTTTATATTTAATATATATGTACGGTATTAACATAATTGTTTCTAATTCGCTTATTTACTATATTCTGTCCCGGCAGTAGTAATATACCCGCTTTATATTGCTATTAAGAAATAAGGCTAAATTGATAAATACTATTACCAATACCTATAAATAAATAGCGTAAGTAAAATTAAATCGCTATTAATTAAATTTATTTAATTTAATAATTTAGGATTACCGATAAGAAGTTTACGGATATATATAGTAACGATTTCTATATTTTAGTATATTTATTATTTCGATTCCATTTATATATACTATATATATTAATAATAAGTAGTCTTACTTAGGATATTCTATATTCGTAAGTGAACTGGAATATATTGTAGTAAGAGGACGTTTACTTATATATCCCGATTTTAATTAGAATTTATAAGCGATAATACTAAATAATATACCTTAATAACGTAATATAAATAATAATATTATCCAATATAGAATATAGAATAATTATATTTCTATATATATTAATTATATATTTCACCCGATATTCCTAAGGCTATTTCTAACCTTATCGAAAGTTTTTACAATTTCGAGCCGCTAATTCGCGGAGGTAATTTATATTAAACGTCTAAGCTAGAAACGGATAAACTTAGACGTAAGTTTAAAGTATTTTATATTAAAAAGGAGGATAGTATTATTATTAATACTAATTAGATCCGTGTAAATCCTTTCAAAGATATTCTAGAATAGTTAAAATATTTATTCGGCGATTTATAATTCGAATCCCTATCGCCTCCGTATACCCCGGCCTCTCTTCCGTATTAAAGGGTAAATTAAATATTTTCTATTATATATATACTAAATTTATATTAATTTAATATAGGATAATAGTTCTAAACTATTGGATTTTAATAAGGATAAGAATAAATTATTGGACCGAAATTTCAGTAGGTCCCGTATAGGTTCTCTTATCGGCTCTCTTACTATATTAAAGAGTTTATTAAATTGTATTTAGTAATTGGTTACTATAATTCCTTCCCCTATTTAGTTTAAACTATTGATTTTTGGTAAAGAACCGGTATTAGAGGAAAAGATCGGTATAAATAAATCGGTCTCTACTCTCCGTTAGAAAGTAAATTAAATATATTCTGTTATATATATATTAAATTTATATTAACTTAATATAGGATAATAGTTTTAAGCTATCGGATTTCGACGAAAATAAAATAAAGTTATTAAAACGAGAATTCAGTACAAACAAATCGGTCCCTATTCCCCGTTAGAGAATAAATTAAATATATTTTTAGATATATATTAAATTTATATTAATTTAATATAAGACAGTAGCTCCTTTATCGCCGGCTTTACTGCTAAATCGAAGCGTAATAAGGCTCGGGTAGATTACTCTTCTCAATTCGGAAAGAATAGAAAGCGGAAGTAAATTAATTGAAAAAAATTCTTACTATTATAGATTACTATATTTAATTTTTCTAGTATATATAAGGAATATATATTTATTCTATAATATATAAAATACATTGGAAGCAAATATAATGGGATAGATAGAAGTAAATTAGCTGGGAAGAATTCTTGCTATTATAGGTTACTATATTTAATTTTTCTAACATATATAAGGAACATATATTTATCCTACAATATATAAAATATATTGGAGGTAGGCATAATGGGATGGGTTAGTGCGCATATGTAATTTATTGAAATGACGGCTATCAGCGGCCGTTCGCGGGCTTTATGAGGGGTCTATACGGAGAAGGTACCAAAGGCGACTTGTCACGTGAAAAGACCCACATTCTGGAGGGCCCCTAATCAGCGGGCCCGGGTTAACTACGGCAGTTCGATAGGCACCTTCTAGAGGGTTAAGCTAGCAAATCACAAGCAAGTCAGCGCACCTGCTTGTACTAGCGGGACAAGAGCAGTCGCCGATTGCGAACCGGAATTCGCGACGACGACCGAGCCGGCAGCGCAAGCCAGACAAATCGCAAAACCCACCCTAATCCTCCTCCGGTGACATCAGGGTAGATAGAAGCTCCCGGTCTCGAACTCCTACCTCACCTCTCTACCTGCACCAATTCTCTATCCTTCAACCAAAACCCCGCGACAAATTCACAATGGGTTCCAGCGCCTCGAAGCCCTCTGCTGCGCATGTGTGGAAGGCGTATGTCATTCTTGTTTCTGGGCGATTGATGAATTCTGGAGACTATGACGGGAAGTTCAAGATTAAGAGAGTCTGGGAAAGCTGACATGTCAAACCCAATCAACTAGGCCCGCCCCGGCTGGCGTGTCGCACGATCTTGTCGAGAAGTTGGAGTCTAGCCCCGAGGTATGCCGTCTCCGTCCGGTCGTGTTGCTCTACCTACCTACCTAGCTAGCTGTCGAGCTCTCCTGCCTGTCCTGCCTCTATCTACGATGCGAACCGATCACTCTTCTACGCCTACACTACTTGCTCCTCCGTTTGCAAACCAACTTGAGATAAATTCTACACCTACCAGCCAGCCAGCCAATTCAATGCTTCAATGATACTACTCAAAACATAAACTGACATACACAAACAACAAAAACAGACCGACATTTCCCGCCAACAGGCCATCGAGCTCCAAGTCCAAGCCCGCGTCGCCGAAGAACTGAAGCGTCTCCGCGCCGCCGAAGCTGCCAAGCTGCAAGAAACCCTTACTGCCTCCTCCCAATCCACCGAGCAACAGCAACAACAAGAGAACGACATCAGCAGACAAAAGGTCCAGAAGGAAGTCGAGGCTCTGCGTGCCAAGCTGGAGGAGCGCCGCAAGGTGCGCGAGCTGCCCGAGAGCACGGAGACGGCGCGCAGCGAGGTGGTGCGGTGCCTGCGCGAGAACGACCGCCGGCCGCTGGACTGCTGGAAGGAGGTTGAGGCTTTTAAGGAGGAGGTGCGGAGGCTGGAGAGGGGGTGGGTTGATAAGGTTGTTGCTTAAATCTGCTTCCCCTGATTTGGTCACACACGAAATACCGACATACGGTCAGACAAACAGACAGACGGGGCGAGATATTTCCTGGACTGGGTACGGATGTTCGTGGGGGGCCTAGGTGTGAGGAAGGGAAGGAACACCTTGTGACACGCTCATATTAACAAAGCCCAAGCAAGTGTGGAAAAGGTTGGCGAGATGGATGGAAGGGGGATAACGATGCCAGATGGGTCTTCTCCGAAAGGGGGAACCGAGTCTGGATGAACAATGAGGGGAAAATGGGAAGCTGCTAGTTGAAATCCGTCTGCAGTCAATCAACATGATACGCAGAGTTAGCAGCTGGTTGGTTTGGTTTGCTGTGGTAGTGCAGCCAGTGTGTTGTGTATGTGAGCGTGTATCATAGACGGCATAAAAGTCAAGAAGCTGAAGGCTTGGAGCTTGGAGCAATGGTAAATAAAGGCTAGGCTTTCGGTTCAGTCAGTCATTCAGGTCAGGACAAACGATATAAAGAAGAGAGACAGAGAAGAGTGGGATGGTCAAGGGCATAGATTAACATGAGCTTATATTCCCCTAAAACGACCGTATTAAGAGAGAGAACAGCACACGTCAACGAAGAGCCTGGTCAAGTCCTTTCTGCTGATTGATATTGTGTGTCAAAACGGGACCGCCGAAGAATCTCTACAGAACATCAGGCACCTGCAAAACCACCTCCGCCAAATCCACCTTGCCCTCTTTTCCCTCCTTAATTTCCTGCTTCCCCTCATCCTCCTGCTTCTGCTGCTTCCCCTCCTCCTCCCTCCTCTTCCTCTCCCTCTCCTCCTCCTTCCTCCTCCTAACCTCCTCCCGTCTCGCCAACCCTTCCTCCCTCTTCCTCTGCTTCCTAGCCTCAGCATCCTCCCAGTCCCCTGCATCGCCACCCTTCTTCTTCTTTTCCTCAACACCAGCACCAGCTTCATCACCAAAAGCCAGCCTCAAAGCCTCCCTTAACCTCGCTATCCTCTTCTTATTCTCCTCAAACCTCTCATTGGCAATTTTGACCAGCAGAGATAAATATTCCGGGGAGACGAGGGCTTGTCTTTGAGAAGAACCGCGTTGGGCGCCGATTAGGGACTCGAAGGAGAGGCCCATGGAGCGGATGGCTACTATGGGGTTTGGTGTGTTGGTGGCGGTGGTCTCTGCTGCTGCTGAGGAAGAGTTTGGTGCTGCTGGTGGTGGTGTTGATGATGATGATAATGATGGTTGTTGTGGTTGCTGGTGGTGCTGGTGAGTATGACACTGGTGGCAGGAGGAGAAAAAGGGAGCAGTTAAACGGGGTAAGATGGAGACGGCGCCGGTCTCGCGGAAGCCCGAGGTCATGCCGGATTGGATTGCTAGGTGGGCGTGGGATGGGGAGGTGGTTAGGATGTGGAGGATCTAATGCGTTTTTTGTGTTAGTTTGAGTTCAATAGGACGGAGATTGTATGGAGGATGGGGGAATGATAAAAACGTACCATGGGTTCAAACTTGAAGTGAATCAACCGCTGCTGCTGCTCTTGCTGCTCTTCGCCATCCCCATCCCCAGACTCAGTCCCAGACCCATTCCCACCAGTCAACCCAAAAACCTCCATCCAATGCTTCCCATCATGCTCCCTCCCCGTGCTCGGATCAACCGTCTCCAACGGATCATGAGAAACAAACAACCACTCCCCTCCGCCTTTACCTCCAGAGGAACTAGCCGTCACCGTAGCTGCCCTTGCCGCATCTTCCAATTCACCCCCCTCTTCTTCCTCTCCGTCTTTCCCACCCTCTCCCTGACCACCATCACCACCACTGGAACTCTTATCCTCCTGCTTCTTCCTCTTCACACCCTCCAAATAAACACTCACCCTCCCCGCGCAACTGCTCGTCGTCACCAGCCCTTCGTACCCATGGTTGATCTCGTCAATCAGCTCGCGAATGGCCACGTCGACCGAGCCCTTGGGGGAGGCGTCGGTGTACTCGGCGTCGGGGACGGAGAGCTGGGAGAGGATTCTGGATTTGCGGGTTTGGAAGGAGGGGGTTGGTGGGGGGAGCATGGTTTTGTTTTTGGTTTTGGTTCTGAAGGACTGTTTGTGACGCGCGTGGTGGGAGTTGTTGGGGTTGGAATGGGGTGAGGGGAAAAGAATTGTATTGTCTCGGATAGACGATATGCGAGGGTAGAAAAGGTGCAAGAACTGAAAAGCTGGAGACTGGCACTTGGTGGATGGTGACTCTGTTGAGTGCTGGTCGACTTGTTTTGGCAAGGTGAGATTGGTGTCAGTGAAGCTCTCAAACAATTCTTTTGTGAATTGTGGGTCCCTTTCAGTTATGCAAGTTGAGCCCCCTTTACAACCTTCTCAACCTACGATTTCCAGTGGCCGTGAACTTTCGCTGGAATCATTGCAACATCTTCTGAAACTGATGTCAGAAATCGGCTGTTTGTATTCTTGAAACCGAGGATTGATCATAACCGCGCCGGCCGTTACGGTGTATCTGTCTATATAGCCTCGACTAAGCGAAGCCGAGCATGACAACCGTGATAACAACGGAACATATATCATCACAAACCGAGCCACGTGAGGTTGATACATATAGTATTATAGAGTTCTGGTTAAAAAGGCAAAAGAAGTTTGGAAACAAGCTACTCTCATCAGGGTATAAAAAAGAACTCGTACAGTAATGAGGCCTGTCCGTCCAACTCCTTCGTTACTGCTCCCTATGCGTTGCCGTTGAGGTACGGGCCACTAGGGCGCTGTTCCCCCATTTTCTTCATCCTGACTTTAATCTTCTTCTCCTTCTTCTTCTTCTTCTTCCTCCTGTATACAAGTTTATGATCGCTGTCATTTTCAACTACAAAAAAAAACTCTTCTTTGGGCCCGGTGCGCAGGTTTAAAAAAAAACGTAACGCCATGCCGTTAGGTATCTGACAAACAAGAGAGAGAAAAGAGGACAACATAAAAACATGAAAAAATATGATGCGTTGATGCGTACTAATGGTATATGTAAAGATGGCTTTGCAGGTGTGCTGTGCTGTGCGTGCGTATAAAGGTCAGACAGGAACGCCGATAAATGGGCAAAAATGATAAACTACTATGCGGAAGCAACCATTAATATCATGCCCTGACCTCCGGCGCAGATCCATTATTCGAGTTTCGCAACGCTGTAGGCCCCATGAATCCCGTATGAGGTAACTGCGGCGAAACGTTTTGCATTTCCATGCCCTCTTTCGAGTCAGAAACCACAGGCTGTTGCCAGCGCCGATGTGATCCGAATCGCTGGTCACCCTGGTTATACTTGACCTTGAATCCGTAGTAAGTCGGCGGCCTTGGCCGGCAGAGCACGACAAACCAGTTCTTGAGCCAGTTAGCCTGGGTAAAAGCGCGGTATCGATCCGACTTTGGAAATTTGTGAGAGTTGAGGTATTCGCGAGTGGTCTCGCCCCGGGCCATCAAAAAGACGTGGTATCCTGTAAGCGCAGCCGGGTACAGGAACGCCAGGAGCCCATAAAAGACCATGGCAAATGGTACGCGGAAGTGATTGACCGCGTGGCCAAAGCTGATATGGTGCTGCTTCCTGTACACCAGAATTTGTGCCAGGGAGGCGCCGATAAGGTACAGAGCAAGAACGGTTGCCGAGCTGACGAAGGTGAAAAAATAACGGTAGTTGCGACGACCAACGCAGTTGTTGAGCCATACACAGTGATGGTCTTGGGTCTCAACACAGTTGTCGCACAAGCGGCAGTGATGAGCGCGTGGAGGACGCCACAGCTGGCATGTCTTGCAGTACTTGATCGGGACCTCCATTGCTGCTGTGGAAGCTTCTGCCGAGTGAACTAAAACCCAGTCGGTAGTTGGGGGCCCCGTCGGGCTATCGTCCATTTCAGGAGGAGGAAACTTGTGCAAATTTCTCGGCAGAATCTAGGATATGTCAGCGCAACACTCACTCACAAAGATCAACAAGCCGTAACATACCCCTGGATCCGACGCCGACGCGTGTAGGAACGAAGATACACAGATATAAGCAAGGTAAGCAAATGTAACGGGTACCGCGGGCGAGATGTTGTGCCAAATCCAAGGCGCCGAGAAGATAAAAAAGAGGATACAAGGAAGAACAATTAGTGACCCGGTTGCTATATTTATCGGGCGTTGCTTTGTGTTCTGGAACCGTCCTCCAAGGCAGAAAACAGTGTTTCCCTCGAAGTATTCGTAGTTTTTTCCAAGACTCGGGTGGTTCTGCCTTTTCGCACGTCTTTTGTGTCTGGCCCTTTGCCTTTCGTAATTTTGGGGTGGGATGTTGGGAGACGAGGCAGCCGATTGTAGCTTCTCTCCGCCCTCAATCTCTCTGTTGGACCCCGTTATCCCAGACTCGTTCATCCTCGGCATCAAGAAGCTGGACCTGAAAGATCGAGATGTCCTCGTTGGTGACCTCGGTGGTGTTGTCGGGGTTCCTTCTCTGCAGTCTTTGTTCATTTCCACGGTAATGTTTCGAGCATCGACGGGTCTCTGCAACGGCCGGACGCTATCCGTAACGCTCGAGGTAGGAAAAAATCCGTTGGTGGGGCTCGTGTTGGCTGTCATGCGGTCCATGGTTTCCTGCTCCGTCATTTCGGTCCCCCTGGAGGGCATACGCAGCTCTGCGTCCTCGGCAATCTGTGCCCCTATGCGACCGCTTCCAGTTGAGATGACACTAGTACGGGCTCCTGCTTCTCCGGTGATCACATATGGGCGGTTCATTGTTGACGGCCGCGCAGCACCCCTTTGCGCCTGGAGTTTCTGCGAGCTCATCGGGCGGAAGAAGCCATGTGACGTTAGAGACGGGACATGACTCCTGCTCGCAGCGCTGATGGGACGGCCTCCTGCACTGCCGATGCTCCCGGCTATACTTCCTCGCTTCCCTGACATGTGTTGGCGAAGAGATACCGATTGCGCCCACGGGCCCCTTGATGATAGCCCGGTCCCAGACGTCTCGGGACGAGACTGTGTGTCCGAATAGAAGCCACTCCTCCTGTTGGGGTTGGCGCTCGAAGGGGGGTTGGCGCTCGAAGGGCCTCCTCCTCGTGGTGTTGTATCTGATCCTTGGCCATCCTCCGTACCTATATCCGTCATTCGGGAAGATATTACGCTGGGAGGGCCAGCAACGGTAAGCTCGGCTCGAGGAGGGTACTGTGGGAACGTGTTGTCGACATTTGTCGGGGAGGCTGACCTCGAGGGTCCCTCTTCGGATGCCATCGTGTCGGCTAGGGAATCCCCCAAGTCCCGCAGTCGATCGCGTCTGAACTGTGTGTGTGTGTGATGTCTAGCTAGTGTCGGAGATCCAACGCTATAACATGGCTATAACTCGAGAATGAAGGTGATGGAGTTTCCCAGCGGCGGGAAAGGAGGTCGGCGACGGATGCGACAAGCTGCGGCGGACAATAAACCGGGGCGCAGTGGTGTCGGCAGTGTCAAGTATACGTAAACGACGTCGCTTGGGGGTTTCGAGGTCCGGGCGCGCTACACGGGGTGTCGGGATATTGAGATCAGACGGAGGGAGGAGTGCTTGACGCAATGACGCTCGGATCGATGGGATGGCGGCACAATACAACGGTTTCGGTAGGGTACGGTATCTCGTAGGTCGAGGTTGGGGGGTTGTTGGCTGGTCGCTGATGTGTCAGGATCAGGTCGGTTGCCGTTTTGCTGTTGCAGTTGGCGGTGCTTATTTGCAGCAGCAATGGGATTGCGGTGTGTGTGCGTGTTTCGGGTCGTTGGTGAAGGAGTGTTGTCGTTATGCGGCGAAGTCAACCCTTGTATCGGAAAATAATGAGCGTATCCGTAATCCGAATTTGTTGGTTTCCAGCTGTGTTAAGGAGTGGACGGCTGAGCGAGATGTCAGCCTTTGGAAGAGAGAGTGGTGTTTGGCTTTGGCCTCGGGTCGAGTCAAAAAGTCGAAAAGTGTTGTGCAACGGGATGGGTTGCAGTTGGTTTGCAAGGAGTGGTTGGCCAAGAGCCTCGCATTGACAGGAGCGTTCTCAGCGTACCCGTCCCTTTTTTGGGTGACCTTTGGCTCCAACATTCCAATGGAACCTTGGAAATCCCCCCAGTCGATTTCAAATGCACTTTGTTCGAGATATTGAAATGGGCCGTGTCATCCATGCACCGTCGTCATTTCTTTTTTGCCCATCAGCCCCAGGTGAGAAGGCAACCCCGAGGCACCCTTTGGGCTAGTGATCGCGGTGACCCCACTCCACGGACACACCTCTTCACTGCTGAAGCGTGCCTGTTCCTCTGTGTGCCTGAAGTGCCAAGCTGCCCCTGAGCCAACCTAGCGTTCGTTATCAACCTTCTCCCAAGATTCGATTCTTATGCCTGGGGCTCCTTTTCTGATAGTAATGGCTCGACGCGGTGCCATAAGGTTGTGAAGCTGACAACGGACATGCCTAAACTTGGAGGTACGGAGGGCGGAATGCAGGTAGCCCGGAGGTAATTCAAACTCGGATCACCACAAACAAAGTGGCTGCATACGCACGCAGCATGTATGTACTCCAGATTTCCGTCACACATGGGCAAACAGCTGGAGCTCAGCTGGCTGGCTGTTTGGTTCTGCCGGGCCCACTGTTCCGTCCGATATCAGCCATTCCGACACACTGTTACCAGCTGAGCACATAGTTGACCCTAACCCTGACATCTCTGTTGCTCTTGCCATGGACCTGACCAATGATGAAGCTTGCTAGCGAGTGCTCACCAGCACCATCACTTGACTTGGCAACCAGCTCGTTACGTAAGACACGCCAAGCCTTTTCTCAAGCCTCGAAATCATACCACGACCCGTAACCCACCCGTCCAGGCCGTCAAGGGGTCCGTGCACCGGAAACCTCAAAGCTTGTGCTGTTGCTGCATCATCGAAAGCCGAAAGCTCTCAATTCCCCGAAACACCTTCGCACCTGACGCCATAGCTACCTCCCGTTCGCCGGAACCCCACCACCGACCTCGACAACAAACCCCCCCGTTGACCCGTTCGTCGAAACCCGCGTCCAGCCCGACTTAATCACAATCACAATGGCCTCCTTCATTGCCCGCCGTGCTTTCTCCACCACCGTCCGTCGCATGACGACTGGCGAGGAGGCTCTCAAGACCGAGTCCAAGAAGAACCCCGAGATTCTGGTGCGTGAAATTTGAAAAATAGGGGGGACATCCTACCTCGCTTCTCCCCTCAACACATCGACGTACCAAACAGCCGGAATTGGGAGGCGTAGAAGAGCTTTGGGCGAGCTGGATCCTTGCGCCGGGCCGGGGGAATGGATGGAGAGAAAAAGCTTCGAAAATGCGCGCGCGGCGGGTTGGGTGTGTTGCGGAGAGGAGCGGGATTTGATGCATTGGTCGCGCAGAACAAGAGGAGACGAAAGAAAAGCAAAGAAGCTTGGAAGCTAACGTGGGAATTGGTGTTGCTCTGAGTATAGGTCCTCGGTGGTGTCATGGTTGCCGCCTTCCTTGGTGCCGGTTACTACTTCGGTATGTTTCTTATCTCTCCCCAAGCTATAGCTAGCTTACCTATCGGGGAGCTATGTCCAAGCTTCCACCAAAGGGTGCAAAACAAACGAACAAAGCTCTAACATCTTGTTTCCACCACACCCAAAGGCCGCAACCCTACCACCTCTACCGCCGAGACTGCCGTTCCCCAGACCAAGGACTCCATGCCCTGGGAGTCCGGCTCGGGCGCTGGCAAGTACCAGTACTACCCCGGCGGCGACCCCTCCGCTGCCCCCAAGGACGCCCCCAGCGCCGTCAACGTTGTCGTTATCCCCGCCGTCACCCTCCCCAAGGTACGAATCACAAACGACCCCGTACAGCTCTCCGTGTTCCTGATATCACATGTTCCCAAAACCGAGGGGTGGGCATGCACCACGGAAGATGGGGAGAAAGAAAGAACAAGATGACTAACAGCGATTTCTACTACAGTCTCTCCACGAGAAGTACAACAAGTGGGGCAAGGAGGGCTACTAAATTATCATCTCTCTGTTATCGTCATCATGGGAGAGAGATTGCTGCGGAAGCGGCATGAGTGGAACGGCTTGTCTCTGAAAATGAGCCCAAGTCATATATCACGACACTTGTAGATACACCTAGATTCCAATGAACAGTTCTCTTGGGCGGTTTTGGTTGATCATGAGAGAAAGACTAGTCTATAATATCACCCTCGACCCCATACAATGTGAAAGGTCTTTGTTCTTGCCTCTCAACAGCATCTTCATACTTTTGACGGTAATTCAGAGTCGGAAAGACTTGGTAAGCTGGTGATGGACACCCTCTTGGGATGAGAATGTATAGTCATCGTCCAAGTTCAAATCTGGTGGCTTCATATATGCTTGAGCAAGATCACCACATATGTCCCGCTTGGCCTTTAACGAACCATAACCCTCGCTTGATATTCCTACAAAGATAAAAAAAAAGTGATGCCGACAACTTGACGCCGGAAACACCCAAGGTATGTCCGCCTATCCATAAGGTGCACATCCCAGTCAAGAATAATCCCCTGATGGTTCATCCTCCCAAGCCATCCAACCAAACAAATCCCACGCACCCCAAATATCAGAACCCGACCCCAAACAAACACAAACTCAACGCCACGTAAATGCAAAGCTCTCTCAACTTTATGTCCTCTTCCGATTGCCCAGTGCAAACTTGCTTTCGTCCTTCATCTATCGCTGCTCCCACGCCTCAGCTTAGTAGTGGCCTTCTGACACCGACTGTCCAGGAAGAGCTCACCCAGGCCCGGGGTTGCTCTTCCCGATTGATGGTCCACCTCTTTCTTGTCGATACGCAGCAGTCCACCGATCGTACTACCTAAGCACTGTAGCCAGCCAGTCGCTCTTTCCCTTTTCTTTATCCTCCTTCCTCTCGCTCAGCTCTTGGTGGTTCAGGTTCTCATTCCCAACTGGCTCCGCTTTCTCAACCGTTTGTAGCTGGGCCCCTCCTTCCTGGTTCCGCTGTAAGATAAGTTGCTCGGTATCAACTGGAGGCTGCTGCTGCGGCTGCTGCTTCCGAGGCCGCCCCATCCCCTCTTTTCGACTGTTGCTCGGTATCAACTAGAGGCTGCTTCCGAGGCCGCCCCCTCCCCCTTTTCGGCTGTTGCTCGGTATCGGCTTGAGGCTTCTCCTCCTTCTTCTTCTTCTTCTGCTTCTGCTGCTTCCGAGGCGACCCCTTCCGCTTTTTCGGTTGTTGCTCGGGCACTTCCTGTGAAGACACAGGCGTCGGCAACGACGCGGATTGCCCCCCCCTAAGTATGTCGCGCCGCGGCGTCGGCAAACTGCTCCCGTTGGATCCGCTCGAGTTCTTCGAGTGTTAGGCCGGACTGCTCGAACTTGTTTGCTTTCTTCTCTCGTCCCTATTTTGGTGTGAGTTAGCTTCACAAGAGAACGTAAAGACACAGACGAACGGAGAGTAAATGTCTCACTACCTTCTGAACCTCCTTGTGTTCCGCAGCTGCCTCTAGTACGGCAGGGACGTAGTCGGCAAAACCGAGCCGCTCGAGCGCCTGCGTGATGTGATCACAGGCAATTGTCTTTTTCGACTCCTTCTCGGAAATCTCGTTCGCCTCGGACGATACGAGTGAAATGAACTCGACGCAGAGGTCGATGAGAAGATCCCTTGCTTCCTTGGCGAATGACAAGCCAGTCGATGATGGCAGAATCTCGCTCACAATCTTCTGGACCGTCGCTGTAGAGAAAGTTAGCTCATACCTCTGGAGTTTGCGCAGCCCGAGACCTGAAGGCTCCTGTGTGGTGAGCGTGGTTAATCCGATATTTCGTTTGCTTGAGGATAGGCACCCTCTTGGCAGCAAGATACCATCTCAACCAGCTCACCAAGCTGCAGCCTATCCTTTCGGCCTCGGGCTGCTCGGAATCACCCTCCACCACCACATCTCGAAATGATATGACATCCCAATATCATTACTGAAAAGTTAACGTACCCTTGGGAAGGGAGAGGTCATCATTGCCTACAGTAATCTAGTTAGTCAAAAAAGATCTTTGATATGTACCACTGAAAAAAAAAGGAAGCTACTCGGAAGCGGTCGGACCCCAGACCCAGAGACAATAAACGGTTCCGAGGCGTATGCATAACGGTAGCCGGAATATTTGTCCATCTTGAGTAGGTGATCGCCATATTGCTCGGTTGAGGAAGGGGGTGAAGAAGACGTCGTGTAAAACCTTGTTGTTTATGTACAACACAGCTTTGCGTGTATATAAACTCGCCAGGCAGCAAGCCCATCGTGACGTGCTTTTTCTTATTCACTCAAAGTTCAACAATAGGTAGTGAAGAAGGAGTGGATGAAAGGGAGTGTTGTTGGTTTGGACTCATGAGTGAGGCTCACTCCACTCAACTTGAGTGTAAGGCTGAGTGGCTTCATCATTGGGCCAACTCGACCGTGTCTGTGTACGCAAATGGGCAATGGACTTGGAGGAAAACTCTAAAAAATAAAACAGCGGCAAATTGTACAGAGTGACAACGGACCTCCAAATTCATGATCGGACATTTTGGCTGATGGATAATGGGGAGACGTGAGAGTCTCCTACGTGCGTCGTCGTGGGGTGGTGTGTGTTGATGCCTCGAGGGGTCGGATATCGACGAGCTAGGTATAGTGGCTGAAGATGCAAAATCCCCAACTGAGGTGCCTGGGCGAGTGATATCTCTCAAGATATGCGGCCGGTGTAATCAAAGTGTTTTGAAGTCTTTATGAGGTCGAGTTGCATGATGGTTAGGGGAGCCGAAGCTCCCTTTGAGCTCGGAGGTGCCCCGGTGAGGATGGTTGCCTTTATACACAACACATTGGCACCGCTCCCTTCACTCCAAACCACAAGTGCGGCTGGCCTGGAAGCTGCCGCCAACGGCAACTGGGCGATTGGTCCTGGCTCATTGCGCGCACCAGGGGCAACCACTTTGTCCGAGCTTCTGAGGTCAATGGTTTGATCACCTGGTCGCAACTGGTGAAGGAATGCCAAGTGCCACTGTCCCAATCAGGCTCTGGCCCACTCGCAGCAGTGAAAGTGGACCTTCCCTGGGACCCCACCACAAATTTCTGACGCCGAAATCGTTGTTCCGTTGTTCAAAAGAAAACTTGGGATCCATCCGTCGCGTCGTTAACTTCCGATTTTCTTCAGCGCCTCCTTCCTTCACCTTTCTACTTTCTTTCAGTCGCGACACCATGCGCTTCCATTGGGACACGCAGGCAACTGCAATGTTTCCATGCTGGATCACTTGACTGGACTGCTTATTGTTACTCCCAGCAATGTTCATGATAGGTAAGAACATCTTCCCCTTCCCCCCGCCAGCACAAGAACGCAATGGTTTTGGGTTTCTATGAGGAGAATATTCGTGTCGCCCCTATCATACACAATTATGGTGATAGACACCGACAAGCCAAACGTCACTACTGATCGAAACCGAACCATTGTGTTCTTGTGTTCTGGAGTTTCAACCTCGTCAGCAGATTTGCTAACAGTTGCTCCCAGTGTCCAGCAATGGTTACCATGATCAGGTATGCCGTTTTCCTGTGGTCTTGTACCACATGGATTACTTTCGAGCCGACACCATGATGCTTTGTACTTTTCATTCCAATTCCGACACTTCATGACGGACACAACTTTCCTGAACCATCTCGACTCAACCAAATCTCGTCGACGCGCCGACTTCAACGTGTCATTTACAACTAACGTCCAGGTGCAGACCCGGACCAATACAGATGCTCGATTGCTTTTGCGCAATGGCTTCCTATCAAAGAAGTGGCTCAACCTGTCCCATCTTCCACTTCAATGGTTGCAGACAGTTTGGTCATGGAGGTAGGAATGCCGCTTGCGCTCTAGTGATGACTTGACACAGTAGGTACATTTTTTTTTTTACTTTCTCGAACACAAGCACAAACAAACATGGCAATGTGATGAATCAACTTACTTCCATGCTAGTACTGAATTTCTATGTTGATACAAGTACAGCCTTTTCATCTTTCGACTGACTTCTTGCCCCATTACTATCTTCTCCTGTCTTCGTTACTTTTTCCAGATATGGTTGCTAACTAGACAAAAGTTTCCTAGTACCACACTGCTGCTCACGATACTCCGCAACCTCCGGTCCGTTCCACTCGACGTATTTACCGGACAGGTCAGACTTGGCGTCAAGTGACAGCTTCGCGATGACCTGGGCAGGCCACTCAGGCTTGTTGAGCTTACCTTCCTCGAAGACCGAGACGAAGTCAGCGTACTCTTTATCTGACATGGCGCCTTGGCCCTTCTCGCGTATTTCCTTCTGCATGTCGGTATCAACCCGTCCTGGGCTGACTGCCACTGCTGTGACGTCTGGCTCCTCCACGGCAACGTGGCGGCAAATTGAGTTGAACGCGGCCTTGGAAGAGCCGTATGCTCCCCAAGAGGCATATGCCTTGAAAGCGGCGCCCGAGGATACGAAGATGATCTTGCCCTTGGTGGCTCGTAGATGGGGGATGGCTTCTTTGACCTGACAATTGTGTTAGCCCTGTTATTCGATCGCATTGGTCTAGGGGTGTAAAGCTCACAATGGAAAGGGCACTGAAGACGTTCACATCGTAGCACTTCTTCCAATCCTCGATGGAAGCATCGGCCAGACGTGCGATGGGATCAATTACTCCATGGTTGACAACAACACCATCAAGCTTTCCGTAAGAAAGGAGAGCAAGCTCCACAGCTCTGTGTGCAGTCTTTTAGATACGTTAATAAACACATGGTCCTCAATCAACTTTCAAGTGATCGCCACTTACATCGGGCACTGTCATGTCGGCGGACAGGAATTTGACCTGGTCTGGATAAACCTTCACGAGCTCGCTAACGCCAAAGGACGTCCTGGCAACAAGGACAACCTTGTGCTTGGCTTTCAGTAGGTCCTGCACGACAGCAAGGCCAATGCCCTTGCTTCCGCCGGTGACAATGATGACTTTGGGTCCAGACATTGTGCTCGATAGTGTGTGGCTTGCTGGATATACGCTTCGATGTTTGTTTTGCTGGTGATAGTTGTGGCCGTTGTCGTTGTTCTCCTTCGGAACCCGGGGAGCTTGTGAAGTCAGAGATTTTATATGGTGACGCCTTGCACTTGGACCAACTGCAACAAAAGGTGAAGCCTGTGAACCCCACCACAATCCCCGGCAACCCGATTGCGGGGCAGATGGAGACCCGGCCGAATTCCGGATTACGAATCGACAACACAATGATTTACCGGGGATGTTCATCATGGCATTTCTAGAGCCGGGAAAAGTGATGGTGATGTACGGGAGGGGATAGTCTTTAGGATTGTCACGGTTTATCTATCTTGTGTTTTCCCTAAAGCGCGAATGCATAGTTGGAGAGATGCAGTGGGTGATTCATTGTGGACTGTTGCGTGACTTCTTTTTCGGACGAACTCTATCCATGTTGGCAGCTGAGTGCTTGCTTTGCGCATGCGTGCAATGAGAGCATCCAACTTGCGCTTGCAACTGTTTGTGAGGCTGCAAACCTTTCAACTTGTCTCTGTGGTCCGGTATCCTGATGAGGTTCTTTGCTTCTAGTCTACCCTGCAGGCTCGTAGGTAATCGCGGTCTGTTCCTCTCGAAGGGGGAAATAATTACTGGATGGCACACGTTTTCCAGTTTCCGTGCTAATCGAAAGGCCAATCCCCCATATTTTTGAGTCTTTTCCAACAGATTTCTCACATCAAGATATCAAGATGCATCCTCCCAGTGATAGTCCCGGAGCTAGTCTCGCCAAGCCTGGGGGCTCTGGGGTCGAGAATGACACGAAGGGCGCGGTCCCGTCTCCCCCTCGTTTTGATGTCCAATTGCGGGACATGATAAGGGTTTGACTAAATAGCCTAAGAGAAGGGAGGTGTATATATCTAGGGAATGCTGACCAGACCAGTTGTTTCTCAAGTCTCAACTCTCGAGTAGGTTGACGGATCTACGTAGAGACTCACCAAGAGGTTGAATTTCCTCAGAAGCTGTCCCCATCTGCCCACTTCTACTACCAGCAAAGTCACAACCCATCGGCAACTCACACTCAGGAAGAGCCTTATACATCTCATCTCGCAAACCTTACAATGTCATCCACAACTACAACCACCACAAACAACACCGGCACCGTAATCCTCGGCGCCGGCATCATCGGCGTTTCAACCGCCTACTACCTCTCCCTCTCCTCGCCCCAATCCTCCTCCTCCTCAGAAATCCACCTAATCGACCCATCCCCTACCCTCTTCTGGTCCGCCTCCGGCTTCGCCGGCGGTTTTCTCGCCCGCAACTGGTTCGCGCCCGAAGTCTCCTCTCTCGGCGCGCTCTCCTTCGCCGAGCACGCGCGTCTGGCCTCCGCCCACGACGGTCGGCGCAACTGGTCCTATGCCCCCTCTACCTCGCTGGGGTACTCGGCTGTTGCCGCCGACAAGGGCGTCAAGAAGCGCGGAGACGATTGGTTGCGTAGCGGGACGAGTCGGGCGGAGGCGGCACCCGGGGACCAAAAGCAAAAGGTGCCGGTGTTGAGTGTGGAGGATTTAAACCAAAAAACGCCGGCGTGGTTGAGGAGGAGGGAGGGCGATGATGTGGAGGTTATTGGAGGGGAGGGAGACGCGGCGCAGTTGGAACCTGAGAGGCTTTGTCGGTTCTTGTTGGAAGAGGCGGAGGGGAGGGGGGTGAAGGTTTCGAAGGGGACGGAGGCGGTGGAGGTGTTGAGGGATGGGGAAGGGGTGGTTAGTGGTGTGGTGGTGAGGGATGTTAAGACGGGGGAGGAGAGGGAGGTTCAATGTTCGAGGATCATCATCACGGCGGGGTGCTGGAGCGGACAGGTGTGGGAGAAGCTGTTTGGGGCTACTTCGGAGACGGTCAAGAGGTTGCCGGTGACGAGCCTGGCGGGTTACTCGCTGGTTGTGAAGAGCCCGAGGTGGGCAGGTGCTGTTGATGGGGAGGGGTGTCATGCGGTTTATACGAGCCATGCCTTTTGCCCGGAGATCTTCTCAAGGGTGGGCGGCCAGATTTACTTTGCCGGGTTGAACTCGGCGGCGATGCCGCTGCCGAACGTAGCGGAGGGCTCAAAGGTGCCGACTGAGCCTATGCAGTTGGTCAAACAGGCGGCTAGGGAGCTACTGGGGTCAGGGAAGGATGGGGAGGATGATTTGGAGGTGGTTAGAGAGGGTTTGTGCTTCCGGCCGGTGACGCCGTGGGGACTGCCTATTGTTGCGAGGGTGCCAGATGAGCACCTCGGAGGCGGGATCCGGACGAGCCCCGGCGCGGAGGGAGGCGTGTTCTTGGCTACCGGCCACGGGCCATGGGGAATTAGCATGAGCTTGGGCACAGGCATTGTGATGAGCGAGTTGGTCCAGGGACGGCAGCTGAGCGCAGATATCAGTGCCTTGGGATTTGACGAGAAGGTTGTTGGGAAGGCGGTCCAGGTCTAGACGAGCTGAAATGGATGTTCATGCCTGGGTCACTGGGTGGGAGGTTGCAAGTTGGGCCGGCCGGCCGGCCCACCAAGCGGCCCAGATTCGGTGGTGGTGGCATGGAAACGGAAAACGAAGAAATGTCTTGCATAATGGTACGGGTACCGGCCGGTAGCACAGACAGCAGGGTCTTGTAACTTCAAGGAATCCCGCAGTTGTCGTTGTTGCAGTACCGTGCTACAAGCTGTGATGAACAGCTTCGAAGATAGTCGGCGTGCTGCCGGTTTCTCTAGGCGGCTCCTTTCAGGCAGGTAGTATCTATTCAAAGCATGATTCAGGTAAATGAAAGCAACATCAACATGTAACAGTCAATGGTCACAATGGCGTGTGACGACCGCTACGAGTTGTTGCCCCATGAGAGGACAGACGGCCGATCCAAGATGTTGGGACTTGCTGTGGCGACATCAAAGGTAGCATGAAATGCTGTCTTCACAGAAGTAATTCGGCTGCAACGGTGACGGTTCACAGAATTTTAGCCGAGCCATTGTTGGGTTTCGCTTTGTGCTGCGTACACTACACATGTCAGGGACAAACACAAGCTGGAGCATATCGAGCATAGAGAGCTGGAGAGCCGGGCCGTAAGCGAACCGAGAGATCGGCATGACGCTTTCCGCTTGTCGTTGAACATTCCTGATCGGAGGAACAATCATCTCTTTTCACTGCCGTATAGCGAGCATCGTCTACCGTGCTGCCGTGGGTGTTTGCCTTTGATGAGTACTGTACATATGTATGGGACGAGCGAGGTTGTTGATGGAGATGTGGATGGAGGACAATACGCGAGGGTGAGGGTTGTTGGTGGTGTTTGACAACTTGACCAGTAGACTATTTCCAGCCAATCAGCGACGTCGTGTTGCCGCCCAGAGATGCTGTTGGCCCATGCTTCCTCCCGCGAAGTGATGTTGCTCGGGGATGAGTTGTGGACCTCGATATCTCTCCAATCGCATTGCCAGGTTCCAGCTTCCACAGCTGCTGTGACACTGTGAGAGGCCAGACTCCCAAGGACGCCCAGCAATTGGAGGAACCAATACCCGGCAAAAGTCAAAGGAAGCGACCCAACTGCGGCCGTGGCATGGCAACGCAACGGGGCCGCTGTGCCTGCCTTAGTGTACTGTGCTGTTCTGCCCTGGCAGGCCTGGGACTACGGCGTACAGTGTCCCGTTGAGGTGCTGCGTGGGGGCTGGAGCCATTCCCAGTTGGTGTTGACTTGCTGTTGATGCCAATTCGCTTCGAGCAGAACTATCGAGACTTCCATGCCCTTGGCTATGCAGGCAATGGATGGCAGTCACAGTCACAGTCGGGTGCTTCACTTCCAGCAAACATCACTTCCAGCAAACATTGGCGGCCCGTCTCTTCCACAAAGAGGACGACGACGACATGATGGAAGAAGAGCCCTTTCCACGGCAGGCTTGGGTGTTATATCAACCGTCTCTTATAGATCAAGCTGACGGCCTTCTGGCCTGGTATTGGCGAGGAACCGACTTTGGATACAACCAAGAGGAGGTTGATAAGCTTTCTTGCTGAGCTTCCATTGGGTCTGTGGTTGTTCACCCGACAGTGCCTCTACCCGGAAAGCCTCCCCGCGTCTCATGCTGACTCTCACAGTCATACACTCTCACCATTCATGCTACACAAGCAGTCAACAACAAGTGCCGTATGTTGTCATCGTGGGCTTGAGGAAGCAGATAGACGGCTGTGGCCACCGCATCGGAGACCGCATACCGTGCGCTGTCATCTGCTTGTCTTGGAGCCAGTTTCTTGCCAGCCAGTTTGAGCAAGGAACGATCCCATACGTGTGGATTTGCAGGCGTCATGTCAGCTCGCTAGGAAGCTGTCGAGCGGGATGTACCGCCGCCATCTATGCTCTGTTCGTAAATGGGTGTGCAGTTGCTTGCGAGACATGCATCTCAGAAACGTCCGGAAGCTCGAATCAATGACTTCCTTATGTCCTTTTTCCCTTTTATACCCAGTTCTGGTCGACTTGCTCTTTTACCATGACCATCGAGAACTTCTTTGGCCTTGGTTATCTTCATCAATATGTCTTCGGCCTCGGTTCTTGGATTCGCAAAAGCCCTAGAGATACCCCGTAGCGCTCACCTGCCGTGTGGGTGCCGTTGATGGTCGACGCTACTGTGTGACGGGCAAGCATGAGCGGCGGGGGGGTTCGACGGGGACTAAGAGGCGCAGGGGGGGATCCCACACCAGGACCCTGGCTAGCCAATATTAAAGGCCGATCAACCGCTGCCTATCAAGCCTTTTCCGCATCGATGACCATCCGACTTTTTGCCCGCCCACTGACAGTCATCAGTAGCATCTTGACGTTATTGTGCGCCTTTGGCTCTTGACTGGCTTGTCTTCGAGGCGTTGGCGTTCCTGTTGACTGCTACCTTCGATCACCATCTCCACACGAGAAAAAGGGGGAACTGTCGAGGTCTTCCAATCACGCCTATACCTTGAGCCCGCCATCACGGTTCAAAGAAGTCACGGGTGGATTCTGCCGAACAATAGCGGCTGGCGACTTGCTGTGAGCTAGGCGGACGAATTCTGCGGCTTGCCATTCAACTTGTCTTACTGCATGGATTAAACGTTCATCACATTTACCTGAACCCTCTCCGCATCCTCGCTTTCAGGGCCTCGATACGACTCTCTCGGACACCTTTCGGAGTTCCGAATACCTTATCACTTCTGGTACCGGTCCAGATCCATCATATATCCCCGAGCTTCCCCTCCCGAGCGCTGAATCGTTTCTCGATTTTGTTTTCTGGTTTTTGCCGTTATCATTCTCTGGTCCTCCCTCGATTCTTCACCCATGGCCACCTCATCATCACCTAACGCTTCTTAATCTTTAATTTGGGGGATCTGGTATGCCCTTGTTGAATCAGGCCGAGTAAGCTGCTTCGTCATTCGACCAACGCTTTCTGTTACCGCGACTATAAGCCGCCTTATAAGTCCAGACACTCTCCTTCATCACTCGCCAACATGGATTCATCAATACCATCGGCGCTCAGACGCGCTGCCGAAAGCAGTACACAAGCAATCGGCGGTCTAGTAAAACGAATCGCCATCCCACTCAAGCCAAACAGTCCGCCTGGTCTAGTCCAAGCATTGACAGTAGACCCGTGGTCCAAAGCCGGCAAATACGGACTGGGTTGGACGTACTTTTCGCTTGTCATCGTCGGTCTCGTGTTGTTCATGAGGATATGGCACTTTTGGCAGGACAAGATTCGACAAGCGATATACAAGCAGGAGATGGAGGAACACTTTCGACAGCTTTACAGCCTGGAACCAGAGTGGGATAGGTCGGCAGCATTGGTCACGGGAATGACAGCAGCAGAATCGAGACGACATTTCTTTCCCGATGAGCCGCCCCTCGAAGAGAAAGACTTCAAGCCGAAAGCTCACTTCTCGTCCATCGGCTTTGTTAACGACACGTTGGCCCTGTTCCGATGGGTATTTTACCGACCGATCCCCGATATTGTATGGAAGAAACATCGGTTTACCTGCTCATCTCTCGCCGTCTTGTTCTGCGTCTTCGTTTCCATTGCCTTCGTGACGATCTACTGCTTTCTCCAGCAGCCGCTTTACTGGCAGAGCATTCAATTCGGTTCTCCCCCGGTCGCTATCCGTGCCGGCATGATTGCGGTTGCCATGACCCCCTGGATCGTCGCCACGAGCACAAAGGCCAACCTTCTCACCCTCATCACCGGCATCGGCCCCGAGCGCCTCAATGTCTTCCACCGATGGCTTGGATACTTGTGCCTGTTTCTCTCGTTAGTTCACATGGTCCCGTTCTATGTGCAGCCGGTGTGGGAAGATGGAGGTATGCAGGTCTTCGGAAAGCTGTTTCCCCCAGGCAGCGGAATCATCTATGGCTCCGGAATTGCTTGCCTGGTGCCTTTATGCTGGCTCTGTGTTGGCTCACTGCCTTTCATCCGACGAATGGCCTATGAGGTGTTTGTTATACTTCACATCCCGGTTGGCGTGATCTATGTCGGCTTGCTCTTCTGGCACACCAAGAACTTCTTGCTGTCATGGGGTTATCTGTTCGCTTCCGTTGGCATCTTCGTTGTCTGCAACATTATCCGACTTTTCAACTTGAACTGGGCGAAACCTTGGCGAATGGCCTGGTTGATTGGCGACGAGGCGGCCATCAATATCATGACCGAGAATGCCATCAAAGTGACCATTCCAACTCAGATGCGTTGGAAACCAGGGCAATACGTTTATCTACGTATGCCAGGCATCTCTCTCTTTGAGAACCACCCCTTCACTATTTCTTCATTGTGCAGCGAAGACTTTCCCTCTGAATACGGCGAGAACTACAGAGATTGCGTGTTGGTCTTCCGGCCGTACGGCGGCTTCACAAAGAAAGTCCTCGATACTGCCATAGAAAAGGGACCATTCCACACCTACCGCGCTTTTCTTGATGGGCCATATGGAGGCATGCGTCGGGATCTGGCCGCTTTCGATACATGCATTTTGATTGCGGGCGGTAGTGGCATCACTTCTCTGATGTCACAGCTATTAAACCTCATCAAGAGGATGCGTGATGGAAAAGCCATTACCAAGAAGATTGTGGTTGTGTGGTCACTGAAGCGTCTCGAGGCCATGGATTGGTTCCGCGAAGAACTTCGTATCTGCAGAGAGGCAGCACCTCCTGAGAGCGTGACCTGCAAGTTCTTTGTCACATCTACACAACGTCAGCAGCTTCATGCTGGAATACCGCACGGCCGCGCGCCGAGACCATTGAGCAACCTTTTCCACGATAAGCTGGATGGGTTTGTTTCAAACATCGCTAACAAGCGGAACAGCGCGCTGATCATGGCGGAGGCGCAGGGCGATCCAGAAAGAGAGCGTGAGCTCCGCGCTGAAGATGAGGACCGGATCACCGCCTTGCCGCAACAAAAATATTTACAACCTCATCATTTTCCTCCTCCGCCTCCGGGGCCGCCACCTAACCAAAGATATTCCGTTGCTGAGGATACACTCCGCAAGCTCGAAGGGCGCGATGTTAAGGACCCATCGCTGATGAACCCAGTCGACAGCAAGGACGGCGTCAAGAAGGATGGCGAATTCCATTTCCCAGCAATTGCCCCACGGCCTGACAAGGCTCCGCACTTCAACTACGCACCACCAGCAGCAAAACAGCGATACAGTCAGTGGCTTGCCCAAACAGGTGGTGATCCCGAATCCCAAGGTCGACCCAGCTACGTAACCATGAGAGAGTCTGAGGACCAGGACCACCAACAACAAGCGGACCGACAACAAGAGCAACACGAAGAAGGAGTCGAGTACAACAACAACCCTTATTCTGGCCAAGATGCCTCACAATTACCTTACCCAATACCACCACCTCCTCCTGGACCTCCACCTGGACACAACCCCGCTGGTGCCGCCGCCGAATCCGCTCCTGCTCCCCAGGCAACCCAACCGGTCCGTCCCCCTGAACTAGCCCACCTCCGCACCGATAACCTCCCAGCAGCCCAGCGGCCCGCTACCCGTCCAATCTCCACCTTCGGCCCCCCCTCGGGCTTCGACTTTGGCTTTCCTAACACGCCGACCGAGTTTCAGAAATCGCTCATGCGCTTCGCCTTTCCCGTGCCGCACCAGATCGACGGCGGCTGGAGCGTCGAGTACGGCCGCCCGGACCTGGGGTACATGCTCAAGGAGTGGGCGACCGGCGGGCCCGACGGCAGAGGCGTGCTCGGACGCAGGACGGCCGTGTTTGTGTGTGGACCGGCGAGCATGCGGGTTGGTGTGGCGAACACGGTGGCGAGGCTGCAGGCGGAGATTTGGGGGGATGATATGTTGGAGGAGATCTTTTTGCATACGGAGAATTATGCTCTGTGAGAGGGTGGCGTGGAGAAGAAAAGCGGCGTTCCCTTTTGTTTTGTGTTGTTCTGTTTTCAGAGATACCTATATGTTTTTACTTGTTTGGGTGTGTACGATTGTGCCAGTTACCCTTTGTGTTTCCTTGTCACTTCTAAATTTTTCGCCAGGAAAAGAAGGCGATTGTATTGGAAAACAGATGCGGCGGTCATCAACTGGGAGGAGAGTCTGTGTGGGAGTGCGGAACTAAATGAGAGATGATCTTTGCGGGTATCGATGATCATGCTATACTTTGATAGTCAGAAGGACGAGGGACGACGAGATACCTGTCACTAGTACGATAGTCATCTTTCTGTACATATACCAATCAATTCTTCTGAAGCAGTGAGTATTCTCGACGGTTATGTGTTGTCAGTGGTCAACCAACCAACCCATGTACGCATCCGTCTCTCGACAAACGGCAAAAAGTAAGGTACCCTAGAGGTAGAAACCACAGGTTTCCCATGGTGTACATCTGAAGAAGAGAAGCTAACAAACAACATGAACAGTAAGTACCAATAGTCTAACCATTCCTACATCTCCCTTCCCAGGAAACCATCATCACACCACCTCAACACCACTTCACCACACCCTCCAAGCAAGCCCTCACTCAGCTACGATATGCCCCCATACTACATTCTCCCTCCTCCCTACGTATGCCAAACCCCCCACTTAATAGCAAAATCCCGATGCGGCAACGTCAAAGTACTACACTCCATAGTCCCCTTACTCCCCACCTTCTCGCCATTATAAAACGGCAACTTGAGCGTCTCCTCAATCATCCAAACCACATCCTCATTCCCGGTCCTAAGCCAATTTCCCCAAAGCACGCCCTCCCCTCCCTCCACGCCCACCAGGCACGTGCCGTACTTGGCGATGATCTTTTGCTTGGGCCCCGTCATCCACTTCCATGAACCGCCCGCGCCGACGTTGATGGAGATTTGCTTGCAGTCGACCGAGTAAGGGGAGTGCTCCGAGGTTTGGTCGACCACGGGACCGTAGTTTTTGCAGAAGGTTTGGGGACCTTCTTCTTGGCGGGGGCCGATGAAGGCGGTGGGGTAGGAGATTTGGCGGGGGAGGGAGAAGCCTGAGGAGGGGGAGGTGGTGGTGGTGTTGGTGTTGGTGGTGGTGGTGGTGGTAGATGTTGGGAGGGCGAGGACGGTGGAGGAGAGGAAGAGGAGGATGGAGATGATGAGTTTGTAAGTGATCATGGTTGTTGTTTTTCTTTTCTTCCTGTGAGAGAGTTGCAACGAGTGTGTCTTCAATGAATGTGAGTGTTTTGTCGTTGATCCAGTCAAGACAAAGAGCGACAACGTGGAGGACAGACGTTCGATGGAGGATCATGGACAGGCCATCCAAATGAACGGAAGTGTTTTGACATCTAGCATTTATACAACTTGCCCACTGGCGCCTGTTCTACAGCGTTCCTGACTTGACTGATTGAAACAAAGGATGGCGGCACATTGTGTAAAACGTGGTGATATCGAGTCTTTGACGATGCACAATCGTGAGAACCTCCACCGTTGGTTAGTATTGTATTTGGTATCATGCGATCCACGACATGAGAATGCCATGGCGAAGAAAAATATAAAAATAAAGCAGTAAGGGATAAAAAGAAAGGCAAAAGCGGGAGGAAAAACACAAAAAAAAACATACAACACCAGGGATTCGCTGGTCGTCACCGACCCAACTACTAGTCTGGCCCTCACTGGCTTATCTATGGGAGAGCGGACGGGATCCCGAGTTTTCCAGTGGGTATGGTCGTATGTGATGATATGGAGTAGAATAGGATCTTACAAAGGAGAGATAGAAGAATGAGGTAATGTTGTCATTGTGCAGGAGGTGACGTTTCTGAGAACCTTCAAACTTCAACCTCCCAACTCACCCGCGCCACCATCGTAACGAAACATCAAAAGTCCAACCAACCCCGCGTGCCCCATATTGCAAAGCACTGCGAATTTAAATGCTTGTCCAAGCGACTTGAACCGATGGCTAATGAAAAGTGCGTCGATATTCCCATCGTCGCATTACGACGCAGCCCCAGAGCCTCCTTTCAGAAAGTGTCCTGCAGCGATACAGGCCACCGCTCGCCTTCGAACCTCGGCCGGTACTCAAATTCCAGCCCGCAGATTCTCGATTAGCAGCGAGACATCCACCACTTCCGTGATGACTGCATTTAGATCGACTTCGAAATGATCTCCAGCTCTACCCAAGCTTCCAATGCACAAGTCCCGCGATAGTTTGGTGGTTGTCGATGAACAATACCATGCAAGACATGCTTAGGATCCTCAACTTCATGACCTTTGCTTACGAGTGTTTTTGGTTTTCGACCAAGTTGAAACCATGCGTAGGGACTTGGCCATACGGACAGTCCTCCCCTCTCGCTACGTTAACACTGCAATATCGAACCTGATACCGGAGACCGAAGCGCCTAGCCGATACACCCATTCATTCATACCTGGAACTGTCAAAAGCGGAATACTTTGAAGTTAGCACGGAAGGTACCACCGTGGAGATCCTTTTGATCTGCTCTGGATCTAACCCTTCCGGGGAGGTTAATGTTTCCAATATGGACCTGGGCAGGTTGGAAGACCACGCAGCATTTCGAAACCCTTTACGGATTACTGCTATGACAGACATCTGCCGTGGTATGGGAAGCCAGCCAAAACACCTTGAACCTCTCGGAGGATGGTCAATTGCCAGGTTTTCCCCTCATCGAAGGTAAAGCGTTCGACACAACACTACTAACGCTAACGAGTTCACGTCGCCCCTGGCTCACTTGAACACTTCACACAAGACATTTGAATGTGGATAGCCACTTCCTTTGAAGGAATCATCACAGGCCCTATTCCCTTGCTGCTGGAGAGGCCTGCAGGCAAAGAAGATGCCCCCCGTCGGACTTCTCCCAATAGCAAACATGCCGAAAGTTCCACGCTACGTTTTCCTGATGTTGACACAAGTTCAAGATGCACTTTGGGGAGCGGTCTACGGAGTACGGACGACTCATCGATCAGATGGAAGACGCATATCTTGCCCCCTCTCGTCCCAACTTTCATTACGGTATATAAGTCCCGTTTCCTGCCCACCTTCCCGTGGTCCGTTGGTGTAATGGCTAACATCACCTAACCTGGCGTATTGTCGTGCTGGACGCGGCCTTACGTCAGCGTGGAAGCTACCGGTTCGACTCCGGTACGGGCCATGCTATTTTTTTTCTCTCTTCAACCTTTACTCAGATGATGATGCGAAAATGGGGCTTCTGAGAAGAGAAAACTTGAAAGCCTAATTTGAGATAGACGAAAGTCCGTAACCGCTGTTATCTCTTCATGGGCGGGCCGCACTCATCAGTGGTTCGAAAGTCAAAACATCATGATAGTACTCTTTTTCCTTATGCTGGAATGGACTATTATACACGAGGCCCGTACGCGAAAGATGACCTTACTGACTACGGTGAAGCCAGATACGTGGATGAAGGTCGCTTCTGGCGTTTCATACAATCATTTCATCGCTGTGATTTGTACCTTCGAGGCGCCACTCCTGAATCATTATTCGTGGCACCAAAGTCTCAAGCTCTTCACTCACCGCCAATAACCACGAGCCGCCAGCGTATCGCTTCAACTACGATTAAAGTTAAGGTTCGCTGGACTTGTAACAGATGATGCAAGAGCCTCGAAGCGGAAGGTATGACAGTGGAACGTGTTCGTGGTAACTTTCGTTGCTGATGGTTTCCGGTACTTTTAGGTTTAAAGTGATCCCTCAGGGGTAAGTGTAGCTGCGGCTAACTGGGAAGGACAACGAACGGTTAGGGAAAGGGGACCACGCACATTGGGTTTCCGTTCGAATGGCCAGGTTCAAATCCCATTCTTTGTCAGTTCACCTCCCTTGGTCACATGTATGTATGTACGGTACTCGACGGTAACACAGACAACAAACATGCCGGCCTACCCACAACATATCCGCCCGTCCGACGACGTTGGGAAACAAGATCCAGCGCGGCTCCTGCCGCCTTGAAATCGAGGTGACGGAGACAGCCGGCGGATAATTCCACTTTGGTTATCATTGGTTGTTCCGGAATTCCGAGAACGTGAAGCCATCTTTATCTCATCAACGACATCAATTTCGGTTGTCCCATTTATGAACACGACAACAGCCATCACAGATCCGTCCCTTTGTGTGCCGGCACGACGAACACCTTGTTGCTGACAACATTGGGCCATCCGCTGTGACTGGATTAGCTTTCTCACGAACATGTCCAACTCCGGTCTTGAATCCTCTCCCCCACAGCACAAGAGAATAGGAGCCTCAACCGAGTTCAGCTCCGATCGCGGTTCGTTCTTACTTCCCGCACATATTCAATGCCACGGAGCAATGGGTACAGAGTGAGCCAGCTGACCATGGCGGCCCCAGATTGACTGGACATGGTATTACGCTGTCACTCATTCATCGGCCACACCAGTCTCATCCTCGTGCGGGTGGTACGAGGCGAGGCCTAACTACGGCACACAACGGTTGTCCTGACCGAACCGACCCAGGGCAGGTACAGCGTCGGAACTCACCTGTCAACGGTTGCTCCTTGGCACACGGTCCTACCGCTAAGCAATATTGTGGTAGCTTTGTGTTTCTCACAAATTCGCCATGGTCCATATCAACTCGGGAATCGGAGCCAGTGAGGTAGCACGGCTCCAACACCAAGCTATACCTTGTTCATCTCCCAGAATCCTGACTTGTGACCACCGGTATGCACTCTATATTGCGTGCATGCCCATGTCCGGAAGCTGAAGCGCCACGCAGGCTTGGAGCAGCAGGCTTTGGTCTACCTTTTGCCCCGTGGACCCAGGTGTCGCAGGACAAGAACGGATGGCAACTGCTTCAACGCATGGCAGGATAACCTCAAGGCAGCGGATACGGGGTGTGCGAGTGCAACACCCCTGCTTTTCATTGGGACTTGCAGCCAATTTTATACATCTCATCCCCTATCGGTCACACAGAGTATTCTTGTGTCACGGAACTCTCCAGGCGGTCTATGATTTACCCAGTCGGTTGATAGCAGCCAGCAAGTCTCTGAAGGACAACGGCCGTTGAAACAATGGTGGACGATCTCTTTGGGCTGCCTGCTTTTCGTGTCCTTAACGCCCAATCTTGCAAGTGTTCGGTGTACGGCTACGGGGACGCGCCGCCAAGGTCAGCCAGGCTCACCTTTGCCCGTGCAGTCGTCCCCAACCACCACGAGAGTTGCACCTTCCAGTCAAGATGATACTTTTACCCAACGTCATCGGAAAGAGAACCTGGGAATTTTACCATACTTACTAGTGTACTGGGACAAACAGTGGGCCGAAGCCGAGATTTTTGTCGGCTGACCTAACCTCCCTTGCAGCTGGTGCCGCAACGAGACAAACCTGCCGGCATCTGCTGATAACCGGAACACCATTCACTAGACTTTATACTGTTGCCTGGGTGGGGGACCAGGAATTCTTATCTTTCAAGTCTTGAAAACTATTTCTTCGGACAAAGTAGCCCGTGGGCATTCTCAATCACCCGACACCGCACGGATCGTCACTGTCGTCAAGGTTGTCCAGTTGCGGCCGGAGGTGTCTGGACTCAAATATCCGGACTCGACAGACTCGGCAAACAGCCGTCGATGCGACAAGCAAACAAGATGGCCTCGAACGAGAAGGACAAAGCCTCGACCGGAAGCACGGCCGAGAAGGCCCTGGCTCACAACCCACCTTCCGGTTCGGAAAAGACAGAAGGCCCTCAAGCCAGCGCTACGAAGGCCCTCGACGGAACCCACCAAGCCTCAAGCACCTCGACAGACTTTGAGCAGCACAATGAAGATTCTACTGTGAGAGATATCTTCATCGAACCTTCCGTGCCAGATTTACTGACATTATCCTTCTCAGCGTCTGAGTGTCCGCAAAGCATTGGCTCTAGCAGCCTTAGCTTGCTGCTGGACCAATGCGCAAGCTCCTCTGTATCTGTTCGGTAAGAAGACATCAATCGTACTGCTTCAACTCAAGTCATCATTCAGCTAACCTATTTACCAGCTGCCGTACCTGTCTTCGTCTACCGAGAGCTTGGAGGAGTTGATCACTGGGTCTGGTTCATCACTGCTCATCTACTCGCCACTGCCGCCATTTCGCCTTTCGTTGGTCGTTTCTCCGATGTATTTGGACGCCGCTGGGTTGCTCTGGCTGGCAGCAGCTTGATCGTTGTTGGCCAGATCATGTGTGGTGTTGCCGAGAACATGGATATCTTCATCGGTAAGTCCATTCGGGCAATTCCCCTGTTAACACTGATTCAATACTCCATACTGACACCCCAACCAGGCGGAATGGCTCTAACCGGAATTGGCACCGGCATCAACGAGCTCACAGCCCTCGCGGGAACAGCTGAACTCGCCCCCATTGCGCATCGTGGCTACTACATTGCCGGTATGATTCTCACCATCATCCCTCTTTTGCCATCGGTCATGTACTCCCAGATCATCTCGGCCTTCTCGACCTGGAGGTACATCTCGATTCTCACAGGCGGCTGGGCACTGGTCGGGCTTGTAATGACTGCCCTCTTCTACCATCCTCCTGCGCCGACAGAGGACCTCAACTGGAAACAAAAGCTTTCGCTCATGAAGGATATGGATGTGGTCGGTGGTGTCCTCTCTATCGCTGGGTTGGCTCTGCTGGAAGTTGGTCTTCTGGGCGGAGGATATCAGGTTCGTGACAGACAGACTTCGCTACGACCATGTTGTACGTCTCTTGACTGAATAACTAACAAACACTTTCTAGTATGCGTGGACAAGTGCGAGAGTCTTAGCTCCCCTGATTTTGGGACTCTTCGCACTCATTGTCTTTGGCCTTTGGGAATTCAAGGGAGCCAAAACCCCCATGATCCCAAGAGACTTGGGTCCGGCCCCCCGTACACTCATCATGACCATGATCATCACCTTCATTTCCGGCGCCAACTTCTTTTCTGTTTTGATGTTATGGCCGAGCGAAGCGTATAATGTCTACGGTAACAAGTAAGGGTTGCCCATTTGTTCCTCCTCCTCACACCTTCTTCGCCCTATTTCCACACTCGATCTCGACCACTAACGTAGAACCTCGTCTAACTAGTCCCTACGGTGTCGGCTTCCGCGGCATGCCCTTCCCCTTCGGCATCCTCGCCGGCTGCGTCATCTCGCTCTACCTCCTCTCACGCTTTCCGCGACACATCAAATGGATCGTCCTCCTCACCTGCTGCATCATGACAGCCGGGTGCGGCGCCCTCGCCTCCGCCCGTCTCGACAACATCCACACCATGTACGCCGTCCTCTTCATCGCCGGCCTGGGCGTAGGGGGCATCGTGGTGCCGGCTTCAACAATCGCCACCATCATCGCGCCGAGGGACTTTATCGCCACCATTACGGCCTTGACCATCTCGATCCGCATCGTCGGCGGGGTGATCGGATACACGGTTTACTACAACGTGTTCATCCAGAAGCTGGTACCCCAGCTTACGAAATCCGTAGTGGGAGCATGCATAAAGAGCGGGATCACCAACAAGGAAACCATCGGCGCGGTGATCGAGCTGACGGGCGCCTCGCTGGTGGACGAGATTCGCATGCTTCCTGGAGTCACGGACGACAGCTGGGCGGTGATCGTGGCGGCCGGTCAGGAGGCGTACGTGAGGGCGTATCCGTGGGTGTACTACTGCAGCATTGCGTTTGGCGGAGTGTCAATTTTGGCGAGCCTGGGCGTGGAGGATATCTCGGGCTTGATCGATAGGACGGTTATGGTTCATATGTGAGGGGACCATGGCTGGCGCCTTGGGGTGGCGTGGTGTGGTGTCTGTCTGGCGGTTTTCTCGGGTTTTCTTACCCCATCAGCGCGGAGCGATTTGACTTCTTATCAGAGCGGCAAGCGATGCGGTCTTTGTGAGTTTCGTATGGGGGTCGTTGGGCTTGGCTGGGAGGATTTGCTGTAGGTTTGATCTTGGGACATCTGGGGAGGGATATCTCGAGCACCTACTTCGCTGTAATATCGGGAGATTCATGCATACACTGGGAGGACTTGATCTGTAAGGACTCAGGGACGACTTGTTTGATGTAGATAGTATAGGGCTATAGCCAGTGTTGTCGAATCTCTGGGGGAGGATGATCGTGAACGAGGACTGTTTCGAACTATATACCATAGCGCTAGTTTAATGTAGATAGAGAATTCTCTGGCTTTCACGGCATGAAACTGTCCAGACGGACTGGAAGCAATACGATAATGTCATATGCTAGATTCGTATTTAGCTGTCATTAGTACTATTAATACCTACATATCCCGAAACCCCGTGCTTGACTCATCACTAACAAACAAAACCTGTCCCAGCTCCTGTACCGAGAAACTCCCTCCGTTTATGACAAGATAGAGCATAAAAGCAACCCGCTTTCCCACTCTACCGTATTTCCTCTCCTCCTATTACAGTAAGTACATCCCCATAAATGAAGAGTTATTCGTGGGTTCCCAAACACCTAATGAAAGACTGTCTCCTCGCCGTTCGGTCTCCATCCACCATCTAAGGCCGATTCCCCTTGCTAGGCAAGTATTTGCTCCTGATGGTGTGACCGATCATGCTCATCCGACTACCAATCGTGCCATCCTGCATCCTACTAGCCAGAGCTTCTTCGAGTGCTGATTGGGTTACCGAGGCATCTGCATTGGACGGGTTTGGTCAACATGCCGGTCATTTATTCGCATATCTTTGAGGAGATGAGAGCAAACGAGATGATGGGAAAGACTTCCGGGACAAGGGACAACTGGGAACCAAACTCACCATCAAGATCACTAAAACTACTCCCCATACTCGGCGCCCCTTCGCTTCCTTCTCTCGACAACATATCCATCCGCCTCGGCGACAGAGGCCCGGGAGGGGGCATTCTTGTTCCTGTTCCTGGTCCAGTTCCAGTTCCAGTTCCAGTTCCACCTACACGCAGTTCACCACCGCTGGCAAGTCGGTGACGACGGGGATTGGGATTGGGAATGATGGCCGCCGAGCTGGTAGATGAGTCGGACGTTTGCGATTGGATGGTGGATAGTTGGGGATGATTGTTTTTGGTGCTGCTTAGACTGTGGCCGTGGCTAACAAGTTGTTGCTGCTGATTTTGGGATCCAGCAGAACCGGAGCCTATCCTGTTCCGAGGCGTTGCTGGACGATGGTCGCGGTAGTTTAGGGGGAGTTTGGTTACGGTTGCGTGAAGATCTAGAGCACCGCTGCCGTCTGAGGTGGAGGTGGAGCCGGTTGGGTTGTTGTCGTTGTTGTTGTTGTTGTTGTTGTTGTTGTTGTTGTTGTTGTGACGTTGTTGGAATTTTGAAGGTTGGTGCTGTTGCTGTTGCTGCTGCTGTTGTTGGTGTTGATGTTGTCTGGTCCTAGTAGGAGGGAGAAAAGCGAGTTCGTCGTCGTCGTCCTCGTCGGAAGCTTTGTCTTGGGCCGCCGACTGGAACCGTGGAGGACGGCGAATGTAGCGACTTTGCATTTGCTCGGCATAGTCTGAGTCAGAGGAGGAAGATGGTGACGTGGAGGCGACTGGCGATGGCGATTCTGGGGGCCGGTAAGATCGGTTATCTTCTGGTTCGTGGGTGGCATCACCAGAGTGGACATCTTTGGTGTTGATGGATAGTAGTGATAGTCTCCGGCGCTGCGGATCACTTAACCTGCTAGCTATCTTGTTACTTGTCGTCGTGGGGGCAGCGAGGCTCGGGTTCTGCCCCGGTACCAAGGTGGTCTGGGAAGAGTTGCGCGAGATGGCGGGTCGTAGAGGGTTAGAGGACGTCTTAGCGGTGGGTGTCCCAGGAGTGTTGACATCGTCTTTAGGGGCGAGAGCCTCCTTGCGCATGGAGAGAGCTGAAGTACGGCCGCCGATAGAACCTGCTCGTCTCATGCCTTCGGCATATCCAACTGGCTCGCCGCCGGGAATCGGTGACGGAGCGGCGGAACCGCGACCGGTCGCGGCGGCTTTCCTCATCTGCGCCCGCAGCTGGGCAGTGTGCCGCTCGGTCAGATAGGATACCATCTGGAGGAGGAACTCGACTGTGACATCGAACTGGACTGCCCTATAGCAACGCACAGTGTCAATACTAAAGGCAGAAGCGGACCGCCAGTGACGAGGAAGACTCACAGCTCGTGCCCTACACATCAGAGTCATTAGCATGAGACCTGCATGGTTGGACGATATAGACTTACAGTCAATCTCTGTCTGCGATACCCCTGAGATAATGGTCCATAGCGCTTCTGATTTCCTGTCGTCCCAGCTCACCTTGCGAGGTCAAGTTAGCTGGCGTGGTTCACGGTGGACGACAAGGGACACAGTGCGGGGAAACATACCGGTGGAGGATCAACGAAGTCGCCCCGATTGAAGGGAAGACGGACATAAACATGGTATCTGGGTTCCCTCCTGTCCTGGTTGGAGGACGAGCCTGGCCTTTCTCTGAGCGACATGGTAGAATCTGAAAGGGGTGATCAACAACTAAGAACCTGGAAACTTGCAGAAATGGAAATGGAAAGGGTGAGTGTCTCGCCAGTCTTATAACAAAACAAAGCTCCGGACGACGGAGGGGAGGTACACCGGTGAGTAAGTGCAGTGTGATTGAGTGCATCATAGCGTGCTGCGTTACAGCAGTCAGAACTACAGGGCTCCAGGCAGGCAGGCAGGGGCAGCTCTTTATCGATAAGTACTTGCTGATGCTGCTAACGGAACCCTACCCGTCTATCGAGGGGCTACCGTCCAATGCTGGGACAAGGGAGTGGGGGAACGAGGACGCTAGCCAAGGCTGTTGTTGGCTTGTTGCCGTAGCAAGATCCCAATTGGGCTGACGTTCAACAGTTCCAGCACTCCAGCATTGATAGCGCATCGAAAAATCGCGTCGCATCTTCATTCGCTGTTGCACCATTTGCACCCAATAGCACCACCACGGTCACCACCACTTCTTGTCTGTGTTTCCCTGGACCTGCAACACTCCGACAACTTCACATCCTCTCTCGGTACTGACAAGAGCTGTTGAAACAAAGCGGCAACACCCAGCGCTCCTACCGTCTTCCAGGATCATCACAGTTGTTCGACCGCGAGCAAACACCGTGCACATAGCACATAGCAATTGCCATTTTCCACCTTAACCACGAGACACCTTACCCAATATCGTGCCTGACATGGCGCCCTTAATCCTCCACAACGTCCCAGACGACGAGCTTTACGTCGGTGACGACGGCATCCAAAGACCTTACGCCATGGTGTTCCCACAGTTCGTTCGCTCGCCGTCGTTTTGGGCTTGACAAACCAGCTCCGATACTGACTTTGAAAAACAACAGCCAAGATGGTCCCCGCTCGAGAAGGGCAGTCCACGAGACAGGCTCCTTCGGCAAGTCAACACGTCGGTCGCGATCCAAGACAGCCACACCAGCCAGGAGGGAAGATGCCACGATAGCCGCCGCCGACCGTGTATTCTCGAACTACCTCGCGAACCTGAACCCAGATCAGAACATCACAGCCGCCCAAAGGAAACAGTCTCTCATACCATCGTCCCTCGGCGACGAGAATGCCGCGCCCACCCAACTGTCTAAGAAACACCACCCAACCGAAGTGATACTACGCGGCTACCGCTCTGTCTCGCACCAGTATGCCGCCATCAACCACTACGAGCAGCTCGCCGGGAGGATATGCGAGGACTACCCGCGCGACCCGCCGCCCGAGAACAGGCGGTACAAGTCCGAACTGCGCGACCCTCTCCTCGCGCGAAGACGGCCTCTAACCGCCGAAGAGCGCGCGCTAGTCAACAAGGCCGACGGTGGCGAGCACTGGGTGAAGGTGACGTTTGAGTCCGCCGAGGCCGCCGAAGCAGCCATGATCGCCTCTCCCCAAGCCATCCTCGGCCACCTCGTATTCGCCGAGCCCTACGATGGCCACCCGCCCGCCCGCGACGAGGCCGTACCCGACAACGCCTCCTTCATCAACAACGGCGTCACTCCCGCCGCCACAAACAACCGCCGCGGTTCGTCAGGTCAACAACCACGCTCCCGCGTGACCATGACAAACCCCTACACCTCCTACCTCGACAACAACAACAACAACAACAACGCGCAAAACCAATCCCCTTCCTCCTCCCGCACCGCTGACACCGGCACTATCTCCGACACCTCCAGCGCGACCATCACCTCAGCCGCCATGGGCGCCGTAGCCGGCGCCTTTACGCACGGCCTGGACTCGCTCGCGCACTCGACTGCGGGCGGGGCCCACCACCTTTCGTCGGTTGTCGACGCCCAGGATCCGGACAGCGAGTTCTGCCGGGCGATCCCGACGGTGCGCAAGGCTAAGCTCCTGCCCGTCGACCAGGCGCTGCTTCCCGCTCCTTCGTACACGCAGCGGGTGCTGAACCACGTGCCGCTGTTCAAGTGGTTTAGCGGGAACATGATCGGGAACGAGGTGCCGAGGAAGGAGAACGGCGAGTTTGATTGGGATCGGGCGAGCTTGTACTGGAAGTTGATGTGGTGGTTGGATGCGAGGTTGTATTTGTTTAGGGGGGAGGTGTTGAGTGCTGATAAGGATGAGTAAGTGATTAGGTACGGGGGTTGGTGTTAAAAGGAGTGGACGGATGGATGTTGAAGGATAGGTTGGGTCATCCCGTCGTAGGGACCATGGAAGGGAAGGTTGCCGTTGATGGTAAAGCATCGGTGGCGGTGGTGGTGGTGGTGGGAATGATACCAAAGTCGAAAGTTGCTATGGACTAAGAGTACGATATTATGCATCAAGCTTGTTTAGCTTGTCATTATAAGACGTTGTTCAAGTCTGTCCTTCTGCCTACCTAAACCCAATGAACGAAGCACGGCAGAGATCTCTGTAGTGATTCGGTATTGCGTGAAAAATAACCTTTTAACTTCTTCACTATCTCTTAAGTCTCAGGAGGGGAAGAAAACCAAACATGACTTGAAATCTATTTGCCTGCCTGCCTGCTTTGTGCTCGGGACTTGGAAAAACACATAAAAAAAAACTCTTATGCAAACATAACAAAACCAGAAACTAATCAAACTAACAAATACTCCTGGAAGCTATGTAATCGTAACAGTCATAAACCAGAAAGGCAAAACTCGGTCGGCCAGCCCATCAAAAAAACCCGCCCGGTACGTTCATACTCGTACTCCTACCAACAGCAGCACCACTAGAACTACTCCTCCTTCTTGTACTGCTCCAACCAGCACTCGCGGTACGTATAGTACTCGGCCTCCTGCTGCTGTTTGTACTGCTCGTACCAGTCATACTTTTCATGCTCATGCTCCTCATACCCATGTTCATGCTTCTTGTTCTGCCCACAATCTTATCGAGGTCGAGAAGGTTCAGATTCAGAGTCGGACCACGGCTGCTGGCGGCCGTTGCCGTCGCACCTATGTTATCGTCGTGACTACTAGTATCTGTCCCCAAACTCCACCTCCTGGTCCTTTCACCAGTAGAAGATGGTGTAGAAGGTAGGCGAGCTAGCCGGACCTCGTCGTCATTGTGACCTGACGGTAGCAGCCAATTTCCTTAACTGGCTGTTGCCGTAGCCGTTTGTCTAGGCGGGGTCATGGGGGTTATCGTCGGCGTTATATCATTCTCTTCCTCCCTTTCGCCATTGTCCCCGTTCTTTTCGTAATTGTTGTGGATAGTATACTCGTCCTGGCTCTGGTACTGGTCATCATTACTGCTGCCGGTGGCGACGTCCATTCTAGAGGCAGACACAAAGCTCATCAACCCGCCCGCCGATCCCGGTCGCCCGCTGTAGCTCCAGCTCCCGTCTCGCAGCTCGTGCTCCTCTGAGGGAAGGGCGGAGGTGGATGCGGCAGACGAGTGCTGTAGCCTCTGCAGCGAGCTGCTGGTCAGACTCCGGTTGATGCCTAGCGAGATGCTGAGGCGGCCGGAGTAGCTGCTTCGCTTGCTGCTGCTTTGGTTGCTTCGCGGCCGAATCTCATGCTGCTGTTGCTGGTGCTGCTGCTGTTCCTCGTCGGGCTCGGTGGGCGGGTGGAAGCGGTAGGGAATTTGGTCGCGCCAGGGAGAGATGAGAGCTTCGTCGTCTTCGTCGTCGCCGCCGTTGGCGGTGGCGTGGCTACCGGGGAGAGGGAGGGTCAGGGATTGGTTGCCGAGTGGGGAGAAGAGAGGGTCCTGTTCTCCTTCGTCGTTCTGTCGGGGCCCGCCGGTGGGAGATGGAGAGTCGGATGTGCCGAAGAGGGACTTGGGATTGAGGGCGAGAGGTTGTGGTTGAGGGGAGAAGGGGCGTGGTCCCCGCGGACGGTTGAAAACTTCGGAAGAGAAGACACTTTCCGTGTCCTTGTCTCGTGGGGGTGTGCGAGGAGAGTAGACGATTGTTGATTGGTTGTCGGGGGAGTGAATAGCGCCCGCGAGGCTCTGTTGGGAGTATTGATTAGTCTCGTACCCCAAGTCTTCAGTGCCTCTTCTCGCTTGGTGATGGTTGCCTACCAGTCTTAGGGTGTCTTCTCTTCCCCCGCCTGTTGTATCGGCGAGAATACTCCTTGGCGGCAGGATGCTGAACAGCTTACTTCCCTCACCGGCGCCGCCGCTCGCTATGCCGCCATCGCCGGCACCGCCTGCGACGATGTTGCCTCCTGTCCCACCAAACCTGCCGTCAGAATGTCCAACGGTCCTGTCTGGGATCACATCCTCGCTGGCGAAGAGATCCTGACCCTGTTCCAGCACATCCTCAAGTCCACCACCTGTCCACCCCTTCCGCGCCATACTCTCGAAAATGTCAATTTCGGCTCGGACGAGTGAACAGCTCGCTTCCACGATACGGGCGCTGGTGTCTTGACTCTCCCTCAAGAGTGTCCTGGAATGCTCGCCATGCAGCGTTGTGAGACCGTCCAACTTAGTGGTCAACTCGACGAGATGGCTCCGGAACTTGGCCACGTCCCTCCTGCGCTGCTTATGCAGCTTCATCCCTTCCTTCTCCAACCGTCTGATCTCCTTGGACTGCACGGACACGGCGCTCGCATAACTTTCCTCTTCATCCTCAACCGCGCCACGCCACTTGTCTAACTCGTGGAGAAGAGGTACCTCGAATGAGCGGTAGACCGTCTCGGACAGAATGTGCTGGTGGTTGGCAACGAGATGCTGCAAACCAGCGACGGTGAGCAGGGTGTCGGCCGTGCAGGTGGACTTTGTGGTGCCCTGGGCTGCAGAGGTGAAGCCATTGGCCATTAACAGCGGGGGTGGACCGCCGCCTTGGCCCTGGGCACCTTGTACCGGACTCCCGCCTCGATCGGAGGGAGCGGACACGATCTGTTCGGCGCGGGCTTCTTTTAGACGAGCGCAAGATTCGAGAGCAGAGCCGAAGGCGGAGGCGGCAGTGGAGAGAGAAGTAAGGGCCAGGCGAAAGGCCTTGGCGGAGGAGACGAGGTCCGCATATGCGGCCTGCGATGCTTCAAGATCGTGCTTGGTAAGGACAGCATGCGCCTGCTTGGGCGGAGGCGGCAGTGGCAGGTTGAACTGCGATAGGTTCGGATTTGCGGTAGAAGCGTATGAATAGGTTGGGCTCGATGGCACCGGAGGTAGTTGTGAGAGCGTTGGCGAGGGAGGTGACTTGGGCGCCATGATTACACCAGCAGAGGTAGATATTCCGGTGGCTGGAGCGCTGGACGTCTGGACTCCCGTCTGGAGGTGGTGCGGATCTCGAGGGCGTCGGTCGAGATAGGAAAGGGAGAATTTGTTTACTCGACGTCGCAAAACTCGGGATCGTGCGACATGGGAAGAAGAAGGCCAACAAACAGGTCGTAGGTATAAAAAAAAAAGTAATGGGCCGGATCGTAGGAGGTTGGCACTCGGCTCGGATGGTACGATGATCGCAACAGGCTAGCGGATAGGTGGTATCTGGAATCTGGGATTCTGGGTACGAGATGCCCCCGCTGTGAGGGGACGGTGGAACCCTTTTGGTGTTTAGGTCGGTTTTAGACTTGTGCGTGGTGATCCCCCGGTCCAAGGGCGCCTCTAAATTGTGGGTGACACGCGCTGTATCCGTAGGTTGTAGTTGGTAGAGGTTGTAGGGAGTCCGTGCTCGCGATGAGGTGCCCGGGCGCAAGCGGAAGGGCCAGTGTTTTTTCTGGGTGCCGTCAAGGTCCCTACTGACAACTTTTGAGGCTATTTTATAACTCGTTTCACCAAGAACAAACGATCATGATCTCTGCTCAAGACGATCTGGAAGCAAGAACACGAGTGGCAAGTGGCTGCTGTCAGTCGTGTCCGATTGTTGCCCCTGGGCAATGCAATGGGATGCTGGGATGAGGTGACGGGGACGACGGGATGTCCACCTAAATGGCCCGTCGATTTTTCGGGGATTTTGGCAGTGGAGTTTCCAGCGTCGGATGGAGCCACGATTCCTCGAACCCAGCGAACCTTCACAAGGCTTGTGACACTGACGACGGCCAGCATCAGCGGGCCACTGTCACTGGACTCGCAAGCCCACCCCCACTGATAACATTGACTAACCGTATTTGGGGAAGATCGGCGTTCCAGCAACTGCTGTGAAACGGGAGCCATCATGTTTCATCATCGCCAACGTCCAGACGAAAAACGCAAGCCTGTGTTTACGCGATAATGAATGTGAGGTGCATGGACGAATGATACCTGATGGGAGTCGTGAGTTCATGATATGTAAACACTCCCAATAACCCCTGAACCTCCTGATGCCCAAACCATGCATCGAGACAACATGTCCAACAACACACACAAGCAGGCAAAGGTTTGAATCCAAATTATCTCCATGTACCCAGGCTGTGTCAGGGTATACCTATATGAACATATCCGGCAAAACAACAGACAAGGCTCTATGTCAAGCAAGTATCGCTAGCATATTCACCAAAAAAACACTATAGCTCAGACTTCTCCGACTTATCAGCCACCTTGGGCAGTCTCTCGGTCAAGAAATCTTCGACCGCATCCAATTCCTCCAGGCAAGCAGAGTGACCCATGCCCCTAGCATTCCCAGGCAGTCAGCATTGAAAACAGATAAAGATCGATCAGGACGAAAACATCAAGGGTGGTACTTACGGATAGGTCTCGAACTTGACATTGTACCCCATCTCCTTGAGCAAGTCGCGGCTCATCGTACCCAGCTTATAGTTGACAACCGGATCAGCAGTGCCATGGGCCATGAAGATGGGCGTCTCCTTGTTGAACTCGGGCTTGGGCACGAGCTCGGCAAACTTGAGGCTGAGGAGGAGATACGTGGACAAGGCGACAATGCCGGCCAGCTTGGACTTGGCAGTGAGGCCGCTGAACAGGCCCATGGCGCCGCCCTGGCTGAAGCCACCGATGACGATGCGGTCGGCCGGGATGCCCGAGTCGATCTCCTTCTGGATCAGATCGTGGAAGTAGGCTTGGCTGGTCAGGATGCCGGCCTCGTCCTCGTTGCGGCGGAGGGACTCGGCGCTGCCATCGATGGCGACCTGTTATAACTGTGGTATTAGACTTGAAACTTTGCGGGGAGGGAGGCAGGCAGGCAGTGTAAGCTTACAATGTCGTACCAACCAGGCATCTTCATGCCCATGTTGGCAGTGATGGGAATCGAAGGCGCATGAGGCAAGATGAACTTGACCTCATCAAGGCGTTGGCGGCGGCGCCATTGCTCGACGGCCGAGGCCCAGCCATGGCCGGTGTCGCCAAGGCCGTGGATGAAGATGACGGTGGCCGTGTGCCGGGCCACAGCCGGGAAGAGGAGAGGAGGACGACGAGCAAGGGAAGCCATTTTTGTGTGATGGTATCAAAGTATTGATCTGTATGTGTTGAAAGTCCAAGAAGGTGATTCCCGGAGTACCGATGGCGTTGTAGTTGACTAGCGCCGTCCGAAGTTCATACGTGGGGCCGATGCGCAACCGGGATCTTTGCAGTTGGAGGCGAGCTTCGAGGAACGGGACTCGGGGCCGTTGGTGGATGGTGGAAACCCGGCGAAGCGGGGCCTCCGCACACGGAGGGTGGGGTAGTCCGGGAAGAAGTCTGGTCTCACGTATAACCCTAACCCATGTCAATACACCACCAAAGTCGGACTTGTCGGCGTTTGCAGTGGGATGTACAGCGGAGCAGGGGCCTGCCTTACCAACCGTTACCAACCGCTGACGAAAGCATTCTTCAGCAAACATTCACCACCTTTTCGGCGCACTGTTTCGGATCACGACCGACAAGCCAACAAGGTCACATCATGTCATGGGCTCCTTTGTGTCAATCACCCGAGTGGAGTCTCTTGCCCCGGAATCCCACCATGAATGGTCCGCGACGATGATGGGGACTGGGGAATGCTTAGACATGCTTTTAAATCGAGAATGAATTCTTATCACTTCTTATAGGACAGAGTCCCTTCCCTTGGTCATCAAGGTGCACACACCCTCTTTTTTCAGCTGTGTTGAGCCTCACTTCACTCTCACTCCAGACAACCTAAATGCCTAATCCGCGGCCACGCAGCCGACCTCTTATGATCGTTCCTGTCCTCGTTGCCGCCCTGGCGATCCTCCTGGCTTCCTCTTCAACTGCTCGCGGCCTGTTCTCCCGGGTCCGAAGCGAAACCTTCAACAAGTTTACTACAGCTTTTAACAACGCCCCCAAGGCCAACCTCACAACCACCACTACTTCACCGCTTCAGGCTGCCGCCACAGCAAACTTGACCTCTTCCAAGATGGGCAGGCCCCCTGTATACTTTTTCTCCCACGGAGGAGTAAGTTCACTCACTCATTTAATAACCACATCACATAAAAACCCGTCAACTAACACCCCCTCCTCCCCAGCCCGACGTCCAATACAACACCAAACACCCCGTCTACCCGATCCTCCAAGCCATCGGCAAAGAAATCGTCCAAAAAGTCAAGCCCAAAGCCGTCGTCGTCTTCTCCGCCCACTGGCAAGCCACCCCCTCCGAGATCCACCTCAACAACGGCGGTGGCCCAACAGACCTGATCTACGACTTCTACGGCTTCCCCGACCACTTCTACAAGGCGACTTTCCCTGCAACCGGATCCCCCCAGCTAGCCGCCAAAATCCAGCAGCTCCTGATCAAAAACAACATCCAGTCCAAGGGTCTCAAGCGGGGACTCGACCACGGCGTTTTCTCGGGTTTCAACGTCGCTTTTCCACCAAACACGGACCGAGCCATCACCGTCCCGCTTGTGCAAGTCTCGCTTTTCAAGTCCGAAGATCCGGACGCGCACTATCGTCTGGGACAGGCCGTCGAGGAGCTCCGCGATGAGGGCGTGGTGATTATTTGTACCGGCATGACGGTGCATAACCTGCGGGATATGCAGTTCTCGTGGGGCGATCCCAACCCGCTTCCCTATGCGGTCAGCTTCGATAACGCGCTGAAGGAGGCGGTGGAGGGCGATGCGGAGGGCAGGCTGGACCGCATGAGGGCGGCGGCGAAGAGGCCGGACGCCAGACAGGCGCACCCGTGGATGGATCACTTGATGCCTATCTATGTGGCGGCGGGCGCGGCGGGGAAGGATAAGGGCGTGCAGACGTGGACGTTGCATGAGGGGAGCTTTGCTTGGGCGCAGTATCGGTTTGGGGATGTACCTGAGGAGTGAGGGGGGTTGAGTGAACTGAGAGGTTACCTGGGATGATCGACAAGGTGCACGCGTGCGATGGTTTTGGATAGTAGCAACAGTGATATACATTGCACAGTCCCAAACAAAACCTCCTCGGATGGCCTTGGTGACAAATCGTACAGATGAGACAAGCACTGGGCTGCACACAGGTTGGTTAAAAGAGCGTTGACATACGAATCTTGTCACAACTTAACTAGGTATCCAACATCGAGCCCTTCCATGTCCCATCCCACCACCCACATCCGCATCAAGCACCACTCCTCGGAACCACACCACCACCGCCGCCACCAGCGCAATTAATCTTCGCCAAACTCTCCTTCATCCGCTCAACAAGCCACTCATGCCGCTCACGCGCAGCTTTGCCATCGCCATGACCACCATGGCCACCGTCGCGGATCAGACTACCTCTACCATCAGGCATAATTATCGTCGCCGCCGCCGTAAAATGAACACAGCCCAGCCCAGCAATGAAACAGTCCTCACAAGACTGGAAATACCCACCCAGATTATAACTCAACGTTTCGGGACTCTGCGGTGATTGTGAGGGCGTAGGGCTTCTTGAAGAGACCCCTTGAAGCATCAGTTCGGCGCTGTTACTGTTGTTGCGATGGGCTTTCGAGAAACTCCGGTTTGGCGTGATGCCGCTGTGGGAGGAGGATTCCCCTCCGTTTTCCCTTGGAGAGTTCCCAGCGGATGCGTGATCTGATGCTGCGGTCTCGTTGTCGTTGCCACTGTAGTGGTTACTTGCAAGAGTTCTTGTCAGTTAACTCGCCTACAACTGAAAGAAAGATACTCGTTCGATCGAACAACTAAGTAAGTGGTGGAAGAGCTGTATGTAGGTACTCACTTCTGGTCACGCATTTTCCCTTCCTCATCTTTGATCGGTGATTGAGGGCGGTCTTGGTCTTCCACAGATTCTTCAACATTCCCATTCGCATGTAGATATCCTTCACCCGCCGTACCATCATCTTCGTCATCGAATTGATGGCCATTGCCCTCCTCTCCTATGCTGATATGATTCTGCGCGATCTCCTCATGATAAGCATGGCTGCGGATGCCAGTGCTCGGCTGGGTTCCGGATGGCCTGACTGTCTCATGCAGTATTGTGAGTATTTGTCATGTGAGAGAACCGGGAGAAAGATGAAGAGCCAGCGTCGGTGTCAAGTTGATAGAGCTTACCGTGGTCAATAGCATTGTTGAAGCCCTAGTCATGCCTCAGTTAGCAGATGATGGAGAATACAAGGAAGATATGGGATGTATTCGTTGAATGGAGTTGTATTAGACATTGATCGGACTCTTCACATGTCTTCAGCAACGCGGACTTACATCATTGCCCGCTTCGAGCGAGATCGTTGAGGCATCATGAATCCACGAGGTTTGGCGCGGATAGGTAGCCATTTCGGTAGCTATTTCTGACCAGCTACTTTGGCCCGATACGGGACAGATCCAGTTGTACAATCAGCTCAGGCGGCTTTGGGCTTTGTTTAAAAAAACGTATCTGAAGAAAATGGAAGTGTCAAACGAACGGCTAAAATAACCGCTAGTGTGGCAGAACCCTTTGGGTGGCCATGGACATGTTGAGCTACAGGAGATGAAGACGGACAGAAGAGGAGGAATAAGGGTTGGTGAGCCTCATATTGGAATTTGAACAGTGACCATTGCTCTGCCTATGCGATGAGAGTTCCCTGTCTTACAGAGAGAGAGGGGAGCAACAAGCAATGGAACAGAACACAGGCAAGCTCGGCGGCCAGCCGCATAACGATTCGGTATTCAAAGCAAACGACGCAACTAAAAGGCCCGAGCTGATGAACACAAACAGAATCAGACATTAAGCAAGACTACATAGAGTTACTATCATGACAGGTAGAAGGTGAGAGAGATAGAGTATGAAAACTTGATAAGAGAGATATCCACCTCCTCCTTTGTGTGATGGATGCATGCATGGGAACACATGGCCACCGGCATCTTTTTATCGAACCAAACTGACAGTCCCCCCAATCAAATTCCCTTCTGCTTATATGGGAAATGAAACTTGACAACCATTAAAAGCGTGGTTTGCGTCGCAAAAGGGCGGCCAAGATTGCAAACGACGTCGACAGCTGCGGAGTGAATTCCACCTCCTCGCACCCACGTAGACCTGGTATCAATACGATCCTTGACTATGCACCGCAACGGGATTGAAACGAACTAGGAAGAAAGAAAGAAGAAAAGTAAATGTGATAACGCCCTTTGAAAAATGCTATCGGAAGGGGATGTCCCTGAAGAAGCCATGCAGCTGCCCGCGGGATCAATATTAGAAAGAGTTAATAGCTTCTGGAACGAAAGGTGGTGAAACCGATAACCCACCGGTGAACAGAAGTTGCAGGTCAAAGGACCTACTTGTCCCGGTTGTGAAGTGGAATAACGAGAGTGACCGAGCCGTTACGCGGGTGTTTCGAGTTGATGTAACGCCAAAGGGGAGGCTTCGGCACCTGCTTCTCAGACTCGTTGTTGATCTTCGACTGGATGGTGATGTTGCCTTTGAGTATTGGTGCCTCAGCAGAGCCGGTATCTGATACCATGCTGGTCACTCGTTGTTTGCAGTCTTCTTCGTACAAGGCCTCCAGGTCTCTTTGCCGGGCCTGGAACTCCATGTCCAGCTGTCGACGGCGCTGTAACCTGCGGATGTAGAATCGACCGACGAAGAAGGATACCAGGATGGCACAGGAGGCTACAATGATACCGATTTCAACCGCTCCGAACTTGTATTGCTGCTTTTCGTCGGAAACATTTTGAGACTGGTTGACGGAATTGTCGTCTTGAGCCATCTCGAGAGGTTAGTCCCTTTGATGCACGGAGATATGTGTGTGTGGTTTCTGGCAAGCAATCATGGTTAGCGCCAATGTATCTTGCCGTATGCGGAACCATATCAAGGGATGCGTGATGGATAGCTACCTCTGCAGACCCTGAGGGCGGGTGATGGCTTTTCGTCCAAGGCGGTCGTTGGCGAAGAGAAGGGATGCGTAGCTCTTATTTGCAGGGCAAAAGTGGAGTGAGACTGAAGCAAACTGTTGAGAACTTGGGAAAGAGTGTCAAAAGTGTGTCGGTATGTTGGTGTTTATGTATTGCGGCGGTCGAGCTTGTGATGACAGGGAACGGGTAATTGACATCAGTTTTCCAGGCCCGAACGAGTTCTAGGTCAGTCTGAGAATATGACCGAAGGGCTGGACACGTCATGACGAGTATGGGACGGAGAGTTCGAACTGGCGAGTTAGGTCGACATCTCTTCCTTCCAGATTGAGCCCATCTTGCCACCCCCAGATGATGCAAGATTAATGAATTGCATTTGCTGGTTGAGTACGGCAGCATTGACCGAGATGCGCCTGGCGATGGACGGGGCAGACGACGAAGTGGCTTGACATTGAAAAAACAGGAAAGTTAACGTATGGAAAGGTAGACGCTAGGGCGATGTCATGTCTGTGATTCGAACTTGAGAATGGGATCTGCACAAGGGAGGGGAGAAAGCAACAACGGTGCTGCTGCCCAGAGAGTGAGGTGGAAGGACGGAGGAAGAAAAGTCAAAAAGGAAAGATTTGCCGACAAAGACAAGATCTTCCCGAGAAGATGGATGGAAAGCACGACCACCGCCATCACTCGGTCCACACTCCAAGATCGGAAAGAATGCCCCGGCACTCCACACTTTGGTGAGGACTCGACGAAAAGCTCTTACCTGACGGACTCAATGACGAATCTGTGGTTCCCTCCTTTGGACAGTGTCCAATGATAAGTATATCGGCGTCCTATGACCATCACGTCTCTTGAAAACCTCAACTCATCATCCCTTTCACCTTCCACCCTCCCATCTCGTCATCGCGCAGCTTTTCGTCATGGTTGAAGAGAAATCACCACGCTAAAAAACCTGAGAAACCCCAGTTTTAGTGCAATTTTTTTGTTCCATTGGCAACCAACAGTCAGTGTTATCTCGGCCAACCCGCCATGTCGATGCTGATTCTCTGCGTCTTGCGCAAAACCACTACTAGGTTTCCAGTGACGACGGAGGCTATCACTGGAGAGAAACAGACCGGAACACCAATCTACGCAGTCAGGGTCATGGCGACTTCTTACTACCAGTCAAAGACATGGCACAGGCCTATGCGCAAGGTCGCTCCTGGTTAGCCATCCCGTCATCCTGTTGGTCGCGCCCAGACGAGATACCATCACGTAAGGCCGTGCAACAGCCAAGGAGAATATTGGGCACGACAGGCACAGCACTTAAACAAAAAGACGACCCAACATGTTCGACAAAATCCAGACAAGTTGATACCAAAACTCAAACTCGGATCTGCTCGGTTGCTTGGGGCCGCATCCATGGCTAAAGGTGCAGCAGGTGTCAAGCCGACAGACAGCTAGGACGCTTGTCAAGCACAGCCGCCGTTATTGTTATTGCAAGATCACTCGGACAATCTTGTGTTGTCGTACAAGGTGATACACTCCTCATATTCCGCATGGCATGTTGTGCGACTTACCACAACAGACCTAACAGCAAAAACAAGCAAACGCAAACGCTTCCTGTGCGTCCAGCACTGACCGAAATACAGACTGTTCCTCCTATCCCGAGACGCAGATTCAGAACACCGGAAGCAACAACTAAATCGCATGCTACTTGACGACATCGCTTGATTTCTTCCGCCTCTCAGTCCCTTCTCCAGAGGTGCTACCACCTACTTCGAGTCGGGTGTCGCACTAACCAAGCAGCCATTCGCAAAGGTGACAGTGAGATTTGTGCGAAGTAGTAGAGGACCGTCGGCATCCCGGGGTTCGATGCTCTTGAAGGCACGGAAGAACTTGAAGAGGGCATATTCGATCTGGGTGAGCGCAAATTGCTGGCCAAGGCATATGCGCGGGCCTCCGGAAAAGGGGATGTACTCCCATCTGTACAACGAGGAGCAAGCTGCGTTAACCACAAGAAGCCCTGGAAAGGATGAACAGAGGGGGAAAACAAAAGGCACATACCCGACCCGAAGGTTCTCATCCCACCGCTCTGGGCGGAACTCATCGGCATCCTCTCCAAAGATATCCTTACGTCTATGGAGACTGTATAGCGACCACCTGACGACTTGGCCCTTGGGCACCAGGATAGGTTGTTTGCCATCCGGGCCACCACCTCGGGGTAGAACCGTGTCCTTGACTGGCGCTCTGGAGTTTGTAGATGCGGGAGGGAACAGCCGCAAACCTTGAAGCCGTTGTTAGCAATCAGGTAACCCCTTCGTAAGTGCTATCCTCCGGGTACGGTACTCACCTTCCTTGATTACCATGTTCAGATACTTCATATTCTTCAGCTGCTCCCAGGTCGGCATCTCGTCCTCCACATCAAGGATCTCTTTCCTCAGTTTCTGTACCGCTGCCGGGTTTCGAGCCAGGTAGTAGAAACATGCCGTCATTGCCGCAGCAGTGGTATCTCTTCCGGCAATAATGACGGACAAGACTTGGTCGATGGCATGTTCCTCATCGGCGCCGGACTTTAGAATCTCATGGAGGAAAACGTAGTTCCTTTCCTTCTTGTCGGTCTTCTCCGCCTGGGACTTCCTTATATAGGTTCGCACATACTCGCGCACTCTTGTCACAGCCGCCTGGAACTCCCCGTTCGGCAACCAAAGGAGAAGCGTTCCAAGTCTAGACTTCTTGGCGGCCTCACGGCTGGTGTACTCGAAATCCTCGAGGAACTGCTTAGCTTCGGGCGAGGGTTCGAGCAACGAGTTGGTGGAGTAGCCTAGCAAGAAATCGGTAGACGAGTCCATGGCCATGGAAAGCAGGAGTTCCTGCATGTCAAAGGTCGATCCATCTTTGGGAATGGCGTTGAGAAAGTTGCCAACGTGTTTGGCGAAGCAGTGAAGGTCGGCGACTTGATCTCTGACGAACGAAGGTCTGATCATTCCTCGAGCCTCGCGCCTGCAGTAGTACGCAGTTAGTAACTCGTAGCCTCTCACTAAACAACTGAACGAACCCAAAACAAAGAGAGAGAAAACATACCACTGAGCCCCATTAGTAGTAAAAACACTCTTCCTCCCCAACACCGGCACGGCCGCATGCAATCTCGGTCCATCAAGCGGCCACTCGTCCATCTTGGTCCCCAAAATCAGCTTCACGTTCTCCGGCTCGTTCGTCATCAGCACCCATCTCCCCAGCGTCAAAATGTAGTGCGTGTTGCCATATCGCCGGAACCGCGAGTCCCACAGCTGCAAAAGTGTGTGCGTGTTGATGGCTCGCAAAGTGTCGCGGAATAGATCCAGACCTAGGATAGGGTCCTTGTGGGGGTAGACTGCCACCCGGCCGCATCCTAGGGAGCGGGCGCGCACGCGGTGGAGAGTGGTGCGGAGGAGGAGGGAGAGGAGGTAGAGGAAGGGAGTTAGGAGGAGAAGGGTGGTTGGGGTTAGCATTTTGGCTGGTTGGTTGGTTCTTGGTGTCGTAGTTTGTATTTGGTAAGTAAAATGCCCGTGGTGGTTTGATGTCGTTTTGGAAGGGGAGTGAGTTGAAGTGATGAGCCCAAGTTTGACTTGCCGCTGTGGTCGATTTCAGTTTAACTCTTCTTCTTCGACGAGCTTTTGATATGGGCGAGCATATAGGTAGGTAGGTAGGCCTCCAACGGTTTCAGAACAGAGGTCTGTCTCCCAATACGATAACTAACCACTCGTCTTCTCACTCTCTGGAGGTGCTCCGTCTGCTTTCTGAGACCAGCCAGTTGTACTATGAAGCAAAGACAAGCTATTCTGGAGAGTACTATAAAAGGAGTCAGCCCTAGTCTGCTCGCGTAAGGTTGTTGGTAAGCGTTACACAGAAATAGGGAAATTCTTCTTGTTCACCTACCAGCCAGCCAGCCAGTCGAGCATACAAGTCCGGGTGAGTGTAGGTCTGTCTCCCAAGCGAACTTTGATCACTGACACCTCCCCAGTGTACTCAATCCCAACCACTTTTCTCCTTTCCCCGCTCTTGTCGTCTCTGGGTGTTCGTGCGCGGGTCACGGTGTAGAGAGGTGGTACAACCTCAAAACACTGACATGTCACTGGCTTGAGCTATCGAGCGAGTGAGGGCGCACACGGGGCTCGTGAGTGACGAGGAGGTTGACGAGAAGGAACTGTTTCGTCGAAAGTCGGAACTGCGTAGTGAAATGTATGTCGGTCGATAGGTATCGGGGATAAGCATGTGACATGTGCACGACGAACGCACAACTCGAATGATTGAATGATCTTGCTGGATGCGAATGTGTTCGTGTACTGCCCTGGCAGGCGGGGGCTTTTGGATTTTTATGTGAACCCAACTTGTTCGTTTCGGTTCGTGAATCGCTACAATCTGCATAGCTCGGTTGTTCACTAATCTCCTTCCTGAATGATCATCATCCCCCACACTGCGATAACCGACTCACCGTTCGGGTCGGTTCGATCCCCTTGTGCTAGTTCAACTTTGGGGAGGATCATCGTCACGACCCCGCGCGGGCTTGCTGGCCCCGACCCGACCCCGACCTCCGACCCGGTCGCATTCATTGTAACTTGAGCCTCGGAAAAATCACCTTCCGTTTGTTTTTGTTTTTTCTTTCCCTTTTCGTTTCACTCATTCTTGTGCGCTCGTATCTGCAATGTAGCAGTAGCATCTTGCGGTGTCATTTTCGGTGTCAATATCGGTGTCCATGTCGAGCGGTGTCATGGGAGAGTGGTCGACCGTGGCATAAATCGATGACGATCACCCACCGCATTCGCACATCGAGGTGGGCTAAGAAGCGTTCTTATTTCCAATCTGATTGGCTATAAAGCGTGCTAGGACGGTAGCATCATTGATGGGGAAGCGGCGGTAGATCGGCTAAAAGGCACATGCGAGATGCATCGCGGGCTGCGGAGAGCAAATCCGGGTTTGGCGAGCGATGGAAAGTAAACAAACTTCTGGAATAGGAAAGGCTTCGTAAGGGGGAGCTTGACCGTCGTCGAAGTGTCAGAATAAGCACACAGCAATATGGCTGTAACGTATGTGGCCGATTTTACCAATGAACACTTCCTGCAACATGGTAAACGCAGAGTGAAGATGCAGGGAATACATTAACAGATAACAACCATAAGGTAGGTACAATGCAATGGAAAGGAAATAGGTACCTGATTGTTTATCCATCCTCCTAAAAACAACTCTCCAAACAAAGCCCAAAATGAATGGAGATACCAGACCTTAGCAATGCCATGACATACCAAATAGCTCTTGCCCATCATAACATCACTAGAACCATAACAAAACCTCCGATCCACAAGCAAGATGAAATAAAAGGTGTTCTGACTCCTCAATCAACTTCCCCAATAAACACTCTCACTACTCTCCCAAGCAAACCGATTTCCACCACCCCTATTATTCCTCTTCTCTCTCCTCTCCTTATCCGCCTCCCTCCAGTTATTGATCCTGTCACCGATAGCGACATCTCCATTTCCATTTCCATTTCCAGTCCCGGCGGTCACTCCATCTTCCCGTTCTCCATCATGACAACAATCACGATGATCCCGAGTTCTAGAGTGAGCCGGTACCTTGATGCCTGATGTTTCCTCCGACCTGTTTTGGTCAAGTTGACGCTTAGGATTCGGAGTAAACCCAGTTGCGCCATCAGGTACCAAGCCCGACACACCTCCAGGAAGTGCAGACATCCCCGAGAGTTGCGACACGTGCCGAGCGGGATCGATGCCGTTGGTGTTGTCTAGGTCCCAGTAGTAAGAAGGTTGGGTGCTGGGATGGTTATGGCGACGGCTGGCGGCGCTGTAAGGGGTTTGGTCGATGTGGCTGTGACTGTGGAAGCGGTGATTGTGGTAATTGTGGTGGTGATGATGGTGGAGAGGGGTATGCGGAACTTGGTGCACATGCGTCTGGTTGCTGTTCTGCTGCTGCTGCTGCTGCTGCTGGTTATGCAGTTTTTGAAGCACGCTGCGGCGGTGGTTCAGATGATTCAGACGGTTGGAGATAATGTTCTTGTTGGCCGGGGGCATCCTATCACCTCCAATGCCATTTCCGCTGCTTCCACTTTTGCTTCCAACGTAGGTGGTAGAAGATGAATGACGAGCCGAATATTGAGACGGTGGTGGCGGTGGAGGAATCCCGTGCCAGCTGTGTCTGTTGTCGGCATATTCGTGGTGAAGTTCAATCACCGTGTCTTTCTCCTTGACATCAGCAATATGACCATAGCCGCCATCGTAGCAATCGCTCTGGAAAGCGCACGTGTCATCGATGTCGAAGCGCGGTCGGTTGCAGTCGTAATGCCCGTCAACTCCATGCCCGCCGCCGCGGCCGTTCTTCCTATGTCCAGGCCGCCAGTGTTTGCCACAGGCGTAGAGAACGTCCGGACGGAGAGTCGAAAGCCGTTTCCAGGTAGTCAGGTTACTCTTCTCGTCCAGAACCATCATGACGCATCCACAGACCAGCCCCAAGATCATAACAGCGGTAATGATCCATGCACCGACTCGGTCGGCAGTGCTAATCGGCGGATAGGGAACCGCAATGCTAAACGGATCCGTCCTACCCACATCCCCGCTGCCGGCCCCGGGGTCTCCCGCGCTGGTGCCGCCCGTATGGTTAGTAACGGGAGCGGTAACGTGCTGGATCATGTTGGCCAGAACAAGCTCCATCGCAGCCATCTGCTGGCCAACCCCCGTTGTACCGTCCCACTTGCCATGTTCCGTCCATTTCAGCCCGCACATGCGGCCGTTGCTGCCGCCGATACATGTAGATGTGGCAGCGATGGCGGTGGACTCAAGAAGAGGCTTGATGCGGTAATATGTCCATGGAGCCCACTTTGTTGTGGCGGCCATGGCGCGTGAGAGGTAGGCTTTGAAGCTCTGCTGGTCGAGATCGCACAGGTTGACGGGCTCACATGCGACTTCTGTCATGATATTACGTCGCGGACCGGTAAAGAAGATACCAAGGCCCTTGATCAGGCCATCAACTCGGCTTCGCCAGACCTCCTGGGTGCTCCCGGTGGTGTAGTTGTACATAGCTGCGGCGCCTAGGAGGAAGGCACCGCTGTTGTACGTCCATTGATAAGGAGTGACTTCGGAGCAGTTTCTTGTGTGTGCTCCATCGTAAATGTAGTAAGTCTGCGTATCCATGAACTTGGACGAGACCATCCAATCCCACGTTTTGTCCGCCCAATCTGCATATGACTGATTACCCGTGTACCGAGCGAGGCGAGCGGCAATGTTGAAGAAGCATGCTTGGGAAATGGAGTTCTTGTAGTCGTAGCCTTGGTTCCAGGTGAAGATCTGCCAGCGGAGCCCTCCACCACACTCCTGGGTGTCCCACCGAGCAGCTTGCGTGTTGAAGACGGCCTGTGCCAGAGCCAGCCACTGCGGCTTGTCGCTCGGTGGATCTTGAAACTTGTACTCGGCTGCTGACATGACCGTCATTCCCCAAAACCCTTGGTCATCGTTACCTTCTGTCATGGTCTGGTCGGGCGGCATGTAGTCGCTATTTGGGCCAGCCTGGAAAAGCAGTCCCTGCTGGATGAGGTCATTCCATTGTGTATCGCCGGTGTAGTACCAGTAGTCAATCAGCGAGCCCATTAGAGCGCCCGCCTCCCACCCTATAGACGGTAACATAAAGTTAGTGGATTGCTTTAGGGGGATTGGCTTGTTTCACGCTTTACTGACAGTAATATGGCTGAGGCAACAGGCCGGGAATGCCTCCCGGCTGGTCGCCAGAGTAGAATGACATCATGTCCTGGGCCATGAAGCTGGCGGCATGCTTGAGCGAGTCTTGCACAAGGAATGTTAGCAGCAGTAATGTCGACGGGGTAGACAGCGGGAAATCACCTATTGAGCTCAAATCCAGATCATAGCCTGCAACGACACTGACTGTCATTAACAGGGCGGTTATCAACCTGGCAGACAGGGAGCTGGCCTCGGTCCCATGGGATCTCATGGTGGGACAGCTGTATCCAATTCGATAGGTAATGGTGAAGAACAAGATCCTAGTTTTCAGACTCCAAAAAGTTCCAAAAAAAACAACACCAAGAGCTGGAATGAACTCTCCAGTAGCAAGACGTGGAGAGACCAAGAGATGTGAAGAGACTGGACAACCGAGGAGATGAGGTGTGCCCGGATGGGCTTGTGGTAAACCGCAGCCAGCTGGGAACTCCAGCATGGTTCCTTCTCCATCATGTCATCTTCGAGTAATTTCAGAAGGCAGGGTCCAGCTGTTCGTTCAAGGGAGTAGCTTCCATTCTGAGCGGGTCAGTATCGAGTCCCTATGAGATCAAGAAAGAGCAACTGCCCCAAGTAAGCTGGCATCCGTAACTTCCATTTCTGGAAACGGCAGAAAGAAACTTCCGCCAGACGGGAAAGCAAGATGCCGAATATTTGAGAGGCCAGCGGGCAGGCAAGCAAAGACCGGCTGGCGACTGACCTTGAGCTCTCTTGCCCTTTACCTATGGAAAGGAGAGCAAGATTGTCCCAAGGATGATTGACGTCTGCATTCGTCAGCCCTGTGTACAGCTGTCTGTGCTCTCTTGATGTCCTGAACTTGGGTACTCCATGTTGACCTTGAAGCGAAGTGTACCGTGTGCCCGCGTAGACGGGAAGAAACGCGCGGATACTAAGGATGGGAAACAGAGTGCATCTGTAAAAGCAGGAATCAAGTATGGCATGGCGGACATCCATTTCATGCAGCAAGTTCGGGATAAAAATGCAGTGTCCGAGGTCTGTTAAGACCTTGCGGGGCAAAAGCTGGAAACGCTAACAACTCCGGACAACACCAGATGACCCAAGATTCACAGCCACTGACGGGCCGCATATCACATTCACTCCGTCGAAGCGGGATTTGAAAAGACGCGCAAGCTACTGATTTCCGCCAGACAGTATGCCCTTAAAAAATCCATCCAAGTGTTTCTGTAGCTCTTTCCTCCTTTCCTGGAACCCCAAGCAACCTATAGTCGGAAAAAAACCCAACTCTCTCTTCAACCTTCCGATACCACCAAGCATCCATCATCTTGATTATATCCAATCCATGGATATTAACACTTGGTCATCATTTCCTATCCCAGACAAAATGGGGATCGCCGACATCCTCGACGACATCAACAAAGCGCCGAGGTTTCGTCCTCTTGTCGACAAGGTCGTAGAGCCTCCTCCCCCTCAAGTCCCAGAAAACAGACCCCGTCTGAACCGTGTTCCCATGCCCGGCTCAGCTGCTCGTGCTACCCACGATATGGCAACAAGTCGTCTCCAAAGTCGTGGTGCTCCAGGGGCAGAGTCTAGCCTTAACTCTGACAAGCACGCCGTTGCTTCATCCAGGAACAACAGCGGATCCCCCACACAGCCCAGGGCGGGCAACGGCCCCACTCGCACCCCACGCACCACCGGTGCCCGTGCGGATCCTCTCGCCAAGCCGAACCAAAACCCGGGGTAAGTTCGTTCAATTGTCACTTGCTGAGCCGCTGAACCCTATGCACTTTCCAGGCCTCCAGCCGCTGTGATAGGCTGTGATAAGCTGCGGACAGGGCAGGGGGCCACTGTCCGATGACGGGATCGCCGCTTGGGCAAGCCCCATCCACTCTCAACCCTGATCCATTCCACTCCCGCGGGCTCTTGCGCCAGCCTTCCGTCACCTCCCTCCTTTCACATCATCCGACTCCATCCATTCACTCCATTGTTCCCCCCGCCTTGTATCGTGCCATTCACGCCTCGCTTCTTTGCCGACTTCTTCGTTTGCCTCGTTGCTTGTTCCTTCCTTCATTGTGTCTGCTAGCCTTTCACGCTTCCCAGTCTAACTGACCAACCCGCGACCAGTCCCTCCGACCGCCGTTCGCCTGCCACTTCTCAACCACCTGTTCGCAAGCCCGAGCAACAACAGACCAAGAAGCCTGCGCAGCCCAAGAAACCCACTGGAAGCACTGCTAAAAAGTCCACAACTCCATCGTCCTCTCGTGCCGCTGCTCCGTCTACCAAGGCCCAATCCAAGCAGCCGCCCAAGCCCGTCAACGGACCCGTCAACGGACCCGTCAAAACTTCGAACGACCCCGACGGTACAGATTGCGAATCTCTGTTTGGCGATTCTGTGCTTGAAAGCATTGAACAGCCCCCAAAGCCCGCTCGCGTCCGTCGGCAGAAAGGCTCGCAGCTGGGGAAAATCATTAGCCAGGAGAAACGCTCGGCCACAGCCAGGAGACAAGCACAAACAAAACTTCAAGCAGAAGCTAAAGAAGCCGCCAAACGAGCCGCTGAAGAAGCCAAGGAAGCGGAGACTGAGGCCCAGAGACGGGCAGAAACCGCCAAAAGAGCCGAAGCCGCTAGAGAAGCCAAAGAACTCGCCGCGAGATCTTTGATCAGCCCTTCGCTCACCCCTACGGTCATCCCGGCCGGTCCCCAACAAAAGCTCATCGGAGAGGTGAAGCTCAACCACGACAACCCATTGTCGACACTCTTGGCCACCTCGGGCGCCAATATGGACCCACCAAAGCATGGCAACTACCCCATCATTCTTAGTGATGATTTACTGGGCAAGGCGTCCAAAGAAACAGTCAGCGGCATTCGCTGTAAGTTTTCATTTCCTTTTTTGCCAGCTGCTACCAACCCATCGCTGACCCTGAAATATACAGACAACCACAAACCGGCGCTCTCGTCCGACATCGCCCCGAGCCAAGCAAGGCTTAAGCGGTCCGCGAAGGATGGCTCGTACAACCTCGGCTTCGATGATAACGGAGACAAGTATCAATACAATGGCGTCCGCACTGCAGCAGACAGTCAATATGTGCTCGTCTTCGACCCAGACCGCAAGGCTTTCGTCCTCCACCAGGTCGATTCAATGTTCAACATGAACATCACCAAAACACCGACCGACACCAATGCCGCGAAGCAGTTCCCTCCTTTAGATGTCAAGGGTACTGTTCTCGACAAACCGGCCCCCAAGCAAAAGGCATCCACAGCCGCATCCAAGAACAAGGAAGCACCTGCCAAGAACGCACCTGCTGGCAGGGGAAGAGGAGGAAAGGCAGCCCAGAACAAGCAGAACCCTGCAACGATACCTCACTCCAAGCCTGCCTCGCCGCCGCGTGCAGAGGCAGAAGGACACACATCCAAGCGCCGCAAGCCATCACCCGCTGATTCCGAAGACGAGGATGAGGATGACGATGATGGTGGCTTGACGATAGAATACCCCGATGGTCCCCCACCAGAACGGTTCAAGCCAGCAGTCAACAAGTATGCTTCTCCGGCTCTCGCCCTGACCCGGCGCTTTTCCGAGTTTGCGGCCGCCTATAACCCTGACGAGGAAGAGGACGTCAATATGGACGCCGAGTTCGAGTCTCGGTTCAACGAAGACGCCGATGGAGAAGGCGGTGGATACGAGGACGACGATGAGGAGGAGGAAGACGAGGACATGGTGGATGCTTTGGCCTTACCCAGCCCGATCAACAAACCCGCGGCATTGGCAAGGACCAATAGCTACCACGAGAACCCATTGCCTCCTCCTGACCGCTTCAGTTTTGACGATGGCTCCGACATGGAGGCAGAGTTCGAAAACGTTCAAGAATCGGCGCCGGCCAACAACCAGGTTAATGCCGCTGATGGCATTGATGATGCCGAAATTGCTGCCATGGAGGCGGAACTTGCGAAGGACCTGGAGAGTGACGTTAGCGAGGAGGAGTAATCCCGTGCCCGCACATCGGTATTTTGATCATGGGGTATGATCGGTTCAGTATCTTGGACATCGTCGGATGCATGCGATTAGTTATGATTTCTGCTTTTTCTTCGGTTCAGGCATGGGAAACGGTTCATACGATACCTACCCTCATGGAGTTGTCAGCATTTTGCAAGGGATGGGCATTTGGGCAATCACGGAAGCTGGCGTTAGGTTTACAAGCGTTTTAAGCTCGATTTGCGGAGGAATTTGAAACAGGCAGCGAAAGGTCGAACAGAGGAGGTAAACTTGGCGATGAAGTGGCTGTTTTCGTCTTTTTGGCAGCCACGAGTCAAGCAGATCTACTATATGGAGGGCGATCGGTGGAATACAGGACGGGCTACAGCTCAGATGGGATATCCTTTGATGATATCCTTAGATAATATCCTTTAAGAATCAATACAATCGATTTTTCACATTTCGTCGTGCTCGACTTGTGCGTATCTGGTCTATTACATTTGGTGAATGGTTGACCCTCTGACTTGCAACCGAAGGTTATAAAGATGAAGCCCTTCAAGTTTACACTGCAGAGGCCGGTGATCCATCACATTCTACCCACCTCTATAAACATTGCCGCTGTACATAGTTCGGCAGCAAGTCAAGTTATCCTTCGTAGTCGTAAACATATCAAGAACCAGGCCAGTAGAGTCAAAGCCCACCTCGCGACTCCCACCTTCATGACAACCAACTCCCAGCCAATTCTGACAAGTTCCTCCCATTGTCGATCAAGAACGACAGAAAATCTCTACAAGCAAAATATTTCCAGCACTAATCCGTCGTCCCTTTCCACCACAGAACCGATACCAGCAACTTCGGCTAATTGTTGGGGTGTCATAGTTCCAAACCTGGAACTCTCGGTCCAAGGTCTGGTACATATAGGTGTATGTGTGTGTTACAAATCTATCCCCATCCCCATCCGTGGATCCAGTCCAATGTAGGGTGGGGGGATGCCAGGTATTGTACACGCCATTGACCATCTAACTGTGCCCGGTGCTCTCCTCCACCTCCGGTCAATTCAAAAACGAACTGGCGGGAATTAATTGGGTTGTTAAGGTAAGTTGCCAAGTTGACCCCTTCGGAACCGGTAGGTTACCTAATGGACCAAAACCAACATAGAAAAGGGGCAAAAAAGAAATGAAATGAAAAGAAACGAGAGGGTAAACTTGGTCGTGCCCCCCAAGTGCTTGCTGGTGGTTGCGTCTCCCGCCTAGTACCCAAGACGCTCTTTCATCAGGTTATGTATGTGTGATAGGCCATCTCGTTCGTGTGTCGTGACATGGTCGCAAATATTCATCTCCGCCCCTGCCCGTATCGAGAGGCTCACCTAGTACACTGCTCTGCTCCTCATGTACAAGGCAAAAAAGAGACAAGAAGGGGATCGAAACACCAATAAATCAATCCGAAAGCTCCATAGGCTCTTCCTTCGTCCCTTTTTGATTCTCCTTCTTCACCTCGGCGCCCGAGGAACTCGAGCCACTGGATGATGCTGGTGCTGATGAACTTGAACTTGTAGCACTGGAACTCGTGGAGCTCGTAGAACTAGGCGAGCTGAAGGGTTCGGTCCTTGGTGGCGGGACTGTCAAAAACAGCTTTCTGCGCACACTTTGCGTGTTCGAGGATGAAGAATTTGGCAGGGTCTGAGTTCTCTGGGTTGTGGAGGAAGTGGCTTTTGAGGGTGGATCTAGGCCTAGACCTAGCGGTGAAGGTGCCGGTGGCTTTGGGGAGACAAACAATCCTGGTGTGTGGTGTGAAGAGCCCGGTGGTCCTACAGGTAGATAGGGTGATGCTGATGTTGAAAAGGGGGTGGAGGGTGATGAGCCCCGTGGTGAGTCCACAGAGGATTCACGGATGGTAGCACTGTCGGACCTGGCGTCGTCGTTGTCTTGGTCCAATTCTAGGTTGGAAATGTCCTCATCGAGGTCGATTACGGTCTTTTGCTTCGGCTGACTTGGGGTTATGTCTAGCCGTGCCCTTTTCCGGTTGTAGATGTTGTCGTCCTCATCGATTAAATCAACGGCATCCAACTGGCGACGTTTTCGGCTACTCAAAAATGTGACCTCGTCTTCCTCTCTTCGCTCAATGTTTACATGCCTCCGAACCGTTGGCGTTCGAAAGGGTTCGACACCTTCGATACGTGCCTGACGAACCACATTATCTTGTGTATCTAACCAGTTAACAAGGTGTTTGTATAACAACTTCACGAAGATTGGAGGGAATGCATTGCCGATCTGCTTCTTTATGTAGTTGCCTGCGAACTTGTGATGCATCGGAAAGCCTTGCAATAGAGCATACTCCAACGGGGTGAACTGCCGTTCCCCAGACCAATGATAGTTCTCGGCAGCTCCGCAAGTAACCGTATAGGGTAGGGGTTTGTCCCCATCCCAAGGGGCTCTTGGGATTGGGAATTGCTGGAGGTAGGGTTGGTGTAGGGGGTAGCGCCTTCTTCCATCAATAGCTGCTAATGCCTGACGTGCTGTTGTAAGAGACTTGAGCCCCCCGTGCCTCCGATTACGGCTAACGTCCGGGCTGTGGGTTGGGGCTGGGAATGGCGGGAGTTTTTCCCCTGGGCCGGCACCGATCATGATGAGCCTCCTCCGAGGCTGAGGAAGGCCGTAGTGAGAGAAGTTCACCACCTTCCATCGGACGGAGTAGCCATGGTCAGTGAATCCTCTGACCAAGCTTTGAAAGAAGTTTTCAAATCTTGGGTGAAGAATCCCAAAGGTCTGCTCAACCGTGAAGAGCCGTGGGCGGATTTTTTCTATCAGGTGCGTACACGAGAAGAGAATCGCCAGGTTCTTCTCGTCATTCTGTCCTGGCCGGGTATGTGCTGGTGACCATACTTGGCATGGTGGTGACAGATGGAGGATATCAACACGATGTTTAATATCTTTATCGACAATGAAATCGTGCATGTCGGTGTCGTAGATGGTCGTCCCGTTAAAGTTGGCTTTGAGAGAGGCGATTGCGTGTTCCCAATTGTCCACACAAAATTCCAAATGCACGCCGGAATCTGTAATACCGCGGGAGGCCCCGCCAGCACCGGCAAAAGTATCACCGGCAGTGTACTTCTGGTTGAACGGCACATTTATCGGCCCAGGTGCTGTCGAGGTGGTGGGATCGTCAAGATTGTGGATATGCATTGGGCGCCGTCCATGTGTTCGTTCAGCAGGTACGAGCGACCCTCCTGGAACCTTTCCACCCCGCCAGCCATTGACCAATACGTTGCCGGATACTCGGAAGTTCTCATCTGCGTCCTCCTCTTCAACCCTCATGAACGCCCATTCGCGAGGCTTGTTCTGGTCGATTTGATGGTGCTCGACGTAAGTGTAGCGGGAGACCAGAACTCCCATGTCCTTTATTTGCTGTCTCTTGCCCGCAATTTCTACTGCATTGTCTCGATGTTGAGGAAATGCTGCGTTCGTCACACGGAGTTCTCTGGTCGTTAGAATGTTTTCAGGCTTGATATCGATCATCGCCTTCTCTCTGCAAGGCCGAGGGTCGTGAGTATCTACCAATGCTATCAAGCAGCATTCGTTTAATTGCTTCGGTAGCATTCCGTTCATTTCCTTTGCTCTCGTGAACCCGTGGCCTCGTATGGTGACGTTATTTGCGAAAGCCTGTCGTGCTATAGAAGTGACACGGACAAAGCTTATGAAAAATTTGCCGATGGGTTCCGGTTCCTTGAGTTCGACGGTCATCCCTGGTCGTATGATAAAGCCCTGGTCGCGTAAAAGGAAAGAAGGCAGAATCTCCTCTCCAGGTCTTGATCGAGGGCCTCTGTTGAACTCAAAGGGTTCGATACCGTCTTCTGTGATATCTATAACTTCAGCGACCTGCTCCTCGAGCTCTTCTTCGTCATGGATCTGGATGACGTCGTCTTCGTCGTCCACGACAAAGGGGTTCTGCTCTCCTCCCGGAAGGGAGTTTGGCTCGCAGATCTCGGCCATTTTGGCGGGGCTTCGATTTCGATGGAAGAGTGAATGGGGTGACAAGAACCTGAGATGGACTGAGTGATTGTAGCTTCGTGAGTTCGTACTTCTTAGGAACTTGGAGGTTCGAGGTAAGGCGTGAGATGAAAGTGGCTGGCTGGTAAGTAACAAATTTCGAGTTGACTGGGAAGAAGAGGAGAAAGTTAGATGGTTGTTCACGGAGAGTGGTGGCAGACGGCAACAGCTGTCCTGGCAATACGAGTCACCGTGAAGTGATGCTGGAAGTGAGTATGTTGTGAGGATGAGAGAAGAAAGGAGGACGATAAATTTCGGGCAAACTCACGAAGTTGAGAGGGGCTCAGGCCACCCAAACGTTGAAATGTTGCCAGAACCCACAGTCCGTCTCGATAGTACAATCTGATACTCTCAAGATGGCGAAAGAAATGTCCGTTTCACCGTACGGTCTCCTCCACGGGAACTGGCAGGAAAGAAAGGTACAGAGTGATCAAGAACTGAGTCTAGAGACGTTGGAGGGAGGGGAAATCTGATACAACAAAAATGATACGTCCGCGGGAGAGGAGTGCGAGCGACAGCTGCTCTCTCCGAGACCTGGGATGAGGTAGGAGGACAATACAAGAAGAAGGGGTCACATATATGGGTAGACAACTTGGTGGAAGAGTGACCTGCTTGGGCAGTATGTTGTTGGAAGGAAGAGATCCAGATAGAATCCGAAGATGGCCGAGATTTTATAGAGGTCGAGATGGATGATCCATCAGGCAAAAAATTCGAGATCAGCACGCAACTCGCTCCAGAGGCAGGCAATAGACCTTGGAGAAGGGATGAATCAAAAGGCGAGGCTCATTTCCCGTTGCCAGAGCAACCATGATCTGACCCGGTGGTTTTACGACTGGGCTGCTTGCAAACAGACCATATCGGATGGAAGGCGCTCGTGCCGAAGAAGTGATGCGATCTATGCTGGCGAGTAAGAGACTAAGCGCTCCGAATAAAATCTGAGGTTATCAGAATATCAAAGATGTTTGCCCATTGAAGGAACACTAGGCATCATTGGGATGAGCTCGTTCTTGGTTCATGTCCTGGTGACGGTATCAATCGGGTTGTGATACCGCAGAGCATGATGCCTTCGCGGCCGCATCTCTAGAATCGAATTTTTGATGAGCCATCATAATCATAGCTGAGACTGAAGCCGTGATGCCACGACTCAAAGGATATCTCTGGTGAAGCATGGACTTCCATGTGTTGAGTGAGTTGTGGAGGTGAATCATCGGTGCTTTCGCTTGGTCCTTTCCTTTCCGTCATGCTGTTGACCCACGATTTGGTGACTGAGAATTCCTTCTGCGCGCTTCTCAGCATAGTTCAGGATCATCGTAATAATCGATCAAGGCGCATTTCTTTGGGACCGACAGCGACTGGTTTCCTTCACGGGCTTGGAGTCGAGACTGACAAGAACCCGATGTCATGATGCTTCAGAGAGACGTGTCAATGCGGGTTAGGGTTATAGCAGATCCTAACCATGTTCGTAATTCCGTCTCGGAACATCCCGGTGCCGGCCCCACGATGTCGTTCCCCACCCTTCCACCCTCACGTTCAATTTTCGCAAACTCCCCTCGTTCGCCGCACCGTCCCCAACTCTTTTTCCTCTTCGCACATGCGCAACTCTGGACTCCGAATATGCAAACAGGAATGTGTATCGCGCTGCGAGAGACATGCATACAGCCGAGAACAGCCTTTCTAGAACCTGGGCATTTATAGGGTAAGCTACCAATTCCTTTTTTCACCATCACCGTCGTCCCTTTCCATGATGTTTTGACAAATATCAAAACCTTGACTGCCTAGCATTCTGCTGCGGAGAAAAATGTTATCTGAATCTTTGAATATTTCATACCTCGATGTATCAGGCCTCCCTCGCGTTGTTGGACTTCTGCTAATAACATCGTGCGGTATTTAGTTTGTTGAGTAGGACCAGAAGATTGGTGACTGCCCATGGCCATTGCAATTGCCAGTTGGTGCTCTCTTCTGTTATCATTCCCTTAGCTAGTGGTACCTTGATCAATCATGAATAAACATGGAATTAGAGATGAACTGAACTGTTACGATCACAGTGCCGTTCCCAATCCTGCTCACGAGGCATTGTTCATGCACGTTCATCGGAACCTTCGGTTTTGCCACTTTGGGGTAGTTGTCCGCTACTTAAAGGTGCATCTCTCCGAACGTCTGGCTCTTCACCTCCAAAGCCCATTCTTCTAGCCTGATTTGCGTGCGCGTCCTAGAGCCTGCTCGTTTCTTTTCAAGGGGTCGGTCTTGTTATATCCGCATACAATCATTGTTCAGGCTCCTAATTAGCAACCGGAGCACTATTCACAAAGCAACCTTGCCCCGATCGCTGCAATGGGGATGCGAACCCGTTCAGCCGCCAAGAGGCTCAAGGTAGACACCGATGAACACATCGTGGTTGTGAGCCCCCTCCAAAAATCGGTCATCGCTCCAAATCATGCATCCGTGACTATTGTAGCTTCGATTGAGGTTGATTCTCGGACGAGAGGGAAACGGAAACGGGGACATGCCACGCAGGCGCAGCCTCTCGAAGTTAAAGGTTCGGCTATCCTTTTGCTCTCAATTTCAGCCTGCTAACCAGTTGACTACTTAGGTGGTTGGGATGTCTTGTCCCATGGCATTGATGCTTTGCCAACTCCTGGAATAACTCCAGAGGTACCATATTCGCTGAGCGGTTCTTCCGACACGCCGATGTATGCCACGCGAAGTGTGACCAAACGCCAGACACAGAGTCCGTTCGAGGTTACGAAGACTCGGACAGAGAACGTAGAGACGCAGAACACACCGATCGGTACGGGCCTCCTGCAAGGGAACACTCCTGTCGATAGCCCTGTGCATCATACACGGAGTGTGACCAAACGCCAGACCAAGATTCACCTCGGAACCATCAAGGCTCGGACGGAAAATTCAAATACGACGGAGGCTGTAGAGACGACAGGGGACGCTGCTCCGGGGAAGATTATTGAGGTGATTACTCCCAAGAACGACAGAGACGAGGAACGTACTACACGGGATCGACGTGTAACCAGGTCGTCTTCCAAGAAGCCAGACACCGCAACCGACGAAACCTTCCAAAGCGGCAATGGACAGATCATTGTCAAGTCAACCGAGAAGACAACCAAGGTTACCGCCACAAAAACACCCACCGTTGACCGTGACAGTCCTGACTACAGAATGCCAGTGAAAAGAGGACCAGACAATCCCATGGGGCTCACGCCAGGATTTTCGCCCTATCCCAATCGTGAGGTTCCCGCCTCTGAGGCATGCGGAGATGTTTACCGCATTTTGGCAGCCATCCATGGGAAGGTAGAGCAACCCAAGAAAATGCCCAAGGCTTCTCTGGAGAAGGCCGGCTGTGGCGAGGTACCTTGCGTCCTGGACGCCCTCCTCCGGACGCTGATTAGCGGCAACACTCTGATGGCCATGGCGGACCAAGCGATCAGGAACATGGTTCAAGAGTACGGATTACGAGAACACGGCTCAGGTGCCGGAAGTATCAACTGGGAAAACGTTGCCAGTGAACCAGAGGAAAAGCTGGCCCAGGTTATCAAGGTTTCGGGGAACGGGAACCAGAAAGCCAAGAACATCAAGCTAATCCTCGACATGGTTGCGTTGGAGATGGCGCAGATGGCAAGAGAGAATAATGGAATGGGCGGCAAACGAGAAGTCGCCTTCCCAGAAACGCTGAACCTTGACCACATGCACACCCTCACCAAAGACGAAGCCATGGCCAAGCTTGTGCGGTACCCCGGTATTGGCATCAAGTCTGCCGCCTGCGTCGCCCTCTTCTGTCTCCGCAAGCCCTGCTTTGCGGTTGACACGCACGTCCACCGGTTCTGTCGCTGGCTCGGCTGGGTGCCGGAGAAAGCAAATGCGGAGGACTGTTTCAAACACTGCGATGTGAAAGTGCCGGATCACCTCAAGTACGGGTTACACCAGCTGTTCATACGCCATGGGCAACAGTGCTTCAAATGCCGGAAGGCGACGAAGCCGGGAACGAAGGAGTGGAGGGAGGCACCTGAGTGTCCGTTGGAACATCTGCTGGACCGGGGGAAGGGAGACGCCCGGGGATATGATTGAGACGGCAATGGAACGCCGAAATGAGTTGCGGCGGAATTGGTTTACTGCTCCCTAAGGAAGATGCTGTGTATGTATACAAGCCCGAGTTGTGGCCAACCAGTAAACGTATGTCAAACGAAGAGAGCGTATGGTTCTCATACTCGCCACCATGACGGATGAAAGCTTCCCAGGCCTGCGAGTCGTAGATACTTCTCCATAGTTTCATCCTATGTCCACTTCCCCGCTACCACACAGTAGACATGGGATTAACGAGAGAACGTATCTTGATAATCCCAAAATATTTTCGTCCTTTACAACCTTACTAGTAAGTACTCGACTGCGAACCAAGGTTTGAAGATCCGATGATTCAAGAGACGAGAGTTGAGCACATCCGTACCACAGGGCCTCTCTACCTGCTGGCAACAGCTGCTCGACAGCTGTTTCGGAGCTTTGCTCTTGCCTGCCGCGCGCCCCCCTGCAACGTTTAGCGGCCCCACTCACTTTGGGTCTGACGCGGTTCGTTCCTTCCACTTGGATTGACGCGCAACGAGGTTTCGTTACAGCGTCCCTCCTTCTTTCTCAGGCACTGGACACTGGCCCTGGCATGTCAGAAGCTCTGACAGCCGCAACCTCAACTCCAACCTACCTCAGGAGAGCCTTCACCGATTGCCTGGTGAAGGGAAAGAAGAACGGGATTAGGCTCCTTCACTGGCTTGAGATTCTCACAATTTTTTGACCATAAAACCGCACGAGCGCGGATTTCCCTTCTATCCTATTGTCATATTTCCACCAACTCCCGCTCTGTGGGCGCAGATACCCGCAACCATCGCCATCGCGGCATTTGCTCTCCAACAAAGCATCACTGCTCGTCTTGCCCGGAGCACTTTGCGTCAACTATTCTTGTCATTCAGTCACCACAGAAGTTGTTGCTCTAGAACCTCTGTCTCTCCCCTCGACAACAGCTTCTCGCCGATGCGAAAGCTTCCCTGAACCATCCCGCTTGCTTCGCGCTGAAGGATGCTTCTTGCGACTATCTAAAGCGCCGACCTACTTCGCCCTCCCAGCTCCGCCAGCTCTGTCTGCCTCGAAAATACAACCACCAGAACCCGTTACGCTCTCTGATCGACCGTCGAGATGACAGACAAAATGGAATATCCAGAGCTGGGGGCCACGGACGTTCAAACGGCCATGATGGAGATGCACCAAGCCTTTGAGGAGTTCCCTCCCAACGCACATCCAATCTGCCCTTTGATTAGCGACGACGACGATACAGACTACGCGTTCCCAGACCTCCCCGACGGGAACGGAACAACGGTGGCAGAAAAGCAAAAGCGAATTGCTGACGGGTGCGAAAGACGTCGAATCACCTACGGCCTTTCGCTCCTGTTAGTAATGCCAGAGGCGGGAAAATGGATCAATGAGTGGAAAGAGCGTGTCAACTTCTTCCTCTCAAAATGTGACCAATGTGCCAGGACATGGCATAGGACACGCCAGCAGTTCATCAGAGCTATTGATCAGTGCGTATCCGTGAAACCCAACTTTATCACCAAGCTAATCCGTTCCTACAGATTTACTTCCCGTGACAACGCCGAGCTCTTGAGGAATCTGCAGCGAAACCTCGAATCTTTCGACGAAGAACGCATAACGCGCGGCCTCAAGAGAGCTAAATTCATTCTCGAGAGGGACGGTCCCATGCCGACTACGAAGCTCGTTAAAATCGAACTTTGGCCGTGTCTCGCCTTGTTCGAATCGCTCTGCTGCATGGCATACTTGAACAACAAAGTAAACCTCGAGATATTCAACTACGTGTTCGAAAATGTCCAGCCTAAGAAGCCGCTTAAGATGGTGGGAGGCGCCATTCCGACCATGACATACTTCCTTTTCGAAGAATATCCGGTTCACAGGGCGTTTGCACAGGCGCAATGGCAACGGATGCCACCGGAAAGCCTCACCGATGAGGAGTGGGAATGGGCTGTCAGAAGCGGCCTCAAGTCCCATATACTCGGCCATAGGGGGGGAACGCAGCTCCCGGCGAGGCTGGTTCGCTTTTGGAGTGGGTTCCTCCTCATTTTGCGAGCCATGAGCGAAAAGAGCATCCTGGAAAACCTCCGTGGTATGGAAGTACAACCGAATGTCTACTTCCTTGCTCTCGAAAACCTGGGCACCAATAACGTCCCTGCTTTGAGCATGATACTGAAAGCGCTTCGTACGCTAATGGAGCGTTCGTCAAAGGCCTTTTGGGATGCTTATGACCAAGTTACCCCCAGTATGATTGTGGAGGAAATTTTCAAAAGCCCGGCTTTTCGGCCCTTCCTAAACCAGTCCCTTGAGCCGGACATGATGGTCGAGGACCAGGATAACAACGGTCAACAAATACCAGCGTTGGCGGAATGGGTCAGGGCCTTTATCCGTTCCCTTCCATTAGCGCGGCGGTCAGACGTTTGCGAATCTCTTCTTCGGCATCTTTTCGAGACTCTCCGGGTCGACGCTGGCGCAGCTCCGGAAGCGAAGGCTACTTGTGTCCTTGCTGGTCTGGTGACCTTGAGAGAATGCTTGGACGGCTACCTCAACCTTCCATCCTTTGATACAGGAACGTCTCTTATTATGGTCAACCAGTTACTCAACAGAGTGATTCAGTACAAGGACGTCATCATTGGCGCGACCAAACTCAAGGCCGCGGACAAGTACAACGTTGGCCTCTCACAGGCTGCTATAGCCATCATTCAGTCTGCTCTGGCATTGGACGCGAAGGCGACGTTTATGGAGTGGGACGCTTTCGTTAAGGAGAAGCCTGTTCAAGATGCCGTAAACAGGGACTCTGGCGCATTATGGGAGTCATTCCTGGAGCTCATCTGGAACGGACAAACAGATCTTGCCAAGGCCATGTTGAGAGCAACGATGCCTCTCAGGAGTATCGAACGGTTTATCCCTAAGCGGAAAGACCAACTCAAGAACGAGCACGCAAAGTTCAACAGACGCTTTCAACAGCAAACGGCGGCAATTGGCAAAATGCTAGGCCGTCTGTCTGACTTTAACCCGGCTGATCTTGACAGTTTCTGCTCGGATCCGCAGAGTAACACCATCCAGCCCATCGTGGCGACTCTGATACACGGTGAGGAAGCCATTCGCGAAGCCGGCTTCGAGTTGATCAAAGCCATCACAGGTGAGATTACGCCATCTGAGGCCGTGAATAAGATGCTTGAGGAGTACTTCAGCCAATTCCTGGAGGCCTTCACTGGCGCCGTAAACCATATCACCAACGCCAAAGACTCCAATAATCCGTGGAGTCACATGCAATACTTGTTGAAATGCTGTGAATTCGTGCTCAATGGCTTAAGTGATCCGTCCGTAGGCCAACTCAGACGCAAAACCCTGACCCCTGCGGAACATGCTGTCGTTAAGGGATGGTGGGAGTGCGAATGGAGAGCCGTCGGCCACTCGTTCGGATCCATGAGACTCTGGCACGTGAAGGTGGACAAGAAGGTCATGGAGGACTTTTGTCGTGATGTGATGGAGCTTGCAGAGAAGCTCCTCGCCCAAGACGGTCTCATGGCTTCGGCACTTAGCACACCACAAAGCATCTCAGCAACAAACGGGGACGACGGTTCAGAGGGCATGAAGATGGTTCTGGAGCCGCCGAGGATACACTCGTTTCCCTTGGTGGACATGTTGCAACTCCGCGATAAATATCTTATCGCCGGTATCATCGAGATCACCAAAAAGCTGATCAAGCGTCTGCAAGACAACGGCATGATGCTTCCGCCAAAAACGGTCGCCTATCTCAACAACATGCTGAAGAAGAGGAAGCTGGCTGATGGGCGGATGGACTACACAACAAAGACGAATCTTACCAATGAGCAACGGATCGAGCTGCTCAAGGCGCTCGGGGACGATGCTGCCATCGAAGAGCAGTTCGTTGGTGGAAAGCCTGTCAAGCAAGAGGTCAAGCCCCTTATGAAACAGGCAAAGATCGATTTCTCAAAGGCCACACTCAAAGACCACATGGCTTCGCTTACGCCTGCCTTTGATAAGGCCACTGAGAGGCGGAAGAATGCTCTGTTGGAGACAATGAAGGCCGAAGCTCCAGTCAAGGCTCCTCCCAAAGTCGACTCAAAGGCTGCCGACAAGATCAAGGAGGCTAGACGGCTGGAGAGAGAAGCAAAGGCTAAGCGAGATGCTGAGGCCATTGCGAGGGCAAAGGCTCTGCGTGCGCCACCGAAGCTGGTCCAAGGAGAAGGCTCGGGTCTGGCTGGCGTTGCTGGAGTTCGTGGCAAAGACCACGCCCCAGTGCTCAAGGACGAGATCATGGTTGGATCATCTTCAGAAGACGAAGATGAGTCTGACGATGACGAGCTGATCACACTCCATGCCGCTGGAAAGAAGAACATGACCGAGGCCGAGCGTCGCGCCCATCGGTTGTTGGCCGAGAAGATGCGCGGACCGGTGAAGAAGGTCAAGATCGAGCGGTCCGCCAAGGATATGCGCGCTCGTCTTATTCCTCCTATGGATGTCTTGCACCAGGCTATCTTGGAGTGGGACATCTTCCACGAGGGTAACGATCCGCCAAACGGGTATCGTTGTGATCACGTATCGGATACCTACCAGGACCCGGTCAGCTACAAGCAGACCTTCTTCCCGCTGCTCATCAATGAAGCCTGGCGCTCGTTTGTCACGGCCAAAGACGAAACCACTTCCAAGCCTTTCGGCATCAAGGTCCTTAGTCGTATGACAGTTGACAAGTTCATGGAAGTCACGGCATCGGTTCCAGTTGCGATCAACAAGGACCGTCAACTGTCTGAAGGAGACATTGTTATCATCTCCAAGGGCCAAAACCCGCTTCAAGAGCCAGAAGAACTGCATTGTCTTTCACGTATCTGGAAGACAACTTACAAGAAAGACAATGTGGAGGTCGTCTACCGCCTGAACGCTAAGGGCAACCAGATCTTGCCTGCCCTACTACCTGGCTCGGAGTTTACCGTCGTCAAGATTACCAACATGACGACCATTGAACGCGAGTACGCTGCCTTGGAAAGTTTACAATACTACGATCTCATGGACGAGGTTTTGAGAGCCGAACCGTCTCCCATGCTGTCTTTTGGCGACGAGAACATCAAGAACACCA